TTTCCCCGCTTTCCCGTTTCCCCGCTTTCCCGTTTCCCCGCTTTCCCGTTTCCCCGCTTTCCCGTTTCCCCGCTTTCCCGTTTCCCCGCTTTCCCGGTTCCCCGCTTTCCCGGTTCCCGCTTCCCGGTTCCCGCTTTCCCGGTTCCCCGCTTTCCCGGTTTCCCCGCTTTCCCGGTTCCCCGCTTTCCCGGTTCCCCGCTTTCCGGTTCCCCGCTTTCCTGGTTCCCCGCTATCCCAGTTTTTATATATACGTTTTTATATATATAGATGCGCGCATTCTATTGGGCCCTCTGAGATTGTGGCGGAATGCTCTTCCCCCCTCATGCCGGGGTCCAAATCTTGGACAAGATGGACCGACCGGAAGTGCTTTCCGTCAGCTGCCAGATGGTGACCCTGGATGGTCGACGCGATACACACCTTCGGATCTGCGGGAGCCCAGATATGACATGGAGGAATTCGGGAAGTTGCGAATCCTCGGACGTCGTAGCTGTCTTACCGCCGCCCTCAACGTCGGAAATGGGGCGATCATCGAGAGGTTCTCTCGTTCCTCGACCACGCGACAGGGAATCTCTCGACTGCGCCGGACTCCCGGAGAATCACAGACAATCTGAGTCAGAATTTCGGGGCGGCTCTGTTCTTCCGGTCTTCCAGTACCTACATACATGTATCTACTCATGTTCGGAATCCGAATCGGATTCGGTATCATGAACCACGCCGACATTGAGGGTTGGGCGTTTCCACGTTGATCCGGATGTGGCTTGTTTGAGGATCTCACAGATCAGCTGGAGTTTGACGCTTCCTTATCCCGGAAGACAATGACTCGATTCAAACTCGTCGTCATTGTTCCGGTGATCTTTGACGTGCCGTATCACAACCTCCGAAAGTTCCATTCATCCGATTTATCGCGTCAGAGGTTCGAAATAAAAGCCCTGGAGGGATTCTAGGAAGTCACAGTTGTCTGTTCTTAGCAATTCACAACATGCGCAGCCTCAGCATCGTCGCTCTCTGCCTCATCGTCGCGCAGGCTTACGCCATCGACTTCGAGGAGAGTAAGTAGCGCGGCTCCCACTCACCGGTGGTAATCGGGGGAGTCCCCATCTAACGCTTCCTTTGATGCTTTCCTAGTCAGCCAATGCGTCCGGGAGCGGATCGGTCGGCAAATCGACAACCTCGGCGATGAAGTCGACGGCCGCCTGAAGAAACTCGCTGAAGATGGAAATGAGACCGCGAAGAGGATCAGGACCGAGTTCAAGCAGAAGGTCAAGGAGTTCCGCAGATCTGCCTCCGCTCCGTGAGTCGTCTGAAGTTTTGAGGCGTCGATCGCAAGGTGAATTTCACGCTGCTCACGATGGTCCGTTACTGTTTTCAGGATCGACGAGGCTCGCCAACAGTTCGACGACTGCGTTGAGCAAGCTGACGGTTTCTTCAAGAAAGCCGGATGCGCCATCGACGCCGGAAAGACCCTCGTCGATGTTGTGATCCCCGCGGCCAAGCAAAGCGCCAAAGAGTTCACTGAAACCATCAAGGAAATCGCCGCCGAGTTCGGGAAAGAACAGCGCAGCGGTCTCGACGACATGGCTGACCTCGGTCGCGACTTCGCGAAGCAAGCTCTTACCTCCGTCAAGGAATGCGTGGGCCTGTAATTGGCGAGGAACGAACGCCTTTTCTTCCACTTAATAAAACTCACCATGAGATTTCTCGTTTCATTGCTCTGCAGTCGGGGAATATAATAGGATGCGATATATGTAGCTAATAGCAGGTCGTTCCGGAACTTTTGTCCGATAATGATCATATCAGGAGAAACTATGGAAAATGAGGGTATTGTAAGAAAAAGCAAGGAAAAGAGGAAGAAACTCAGTCCGTAAAGAAATTATGATCAATCGATTTAAAATGATGATGATGATTGGAAGTCGATCTTCATGGAGAATAATTATCTGGACTCGGAACCGACAAGCCGATCGTTGGCATACAATATTGACTCTAGAGGAGATGGTGAGGTTCATTCACGACCAGAGTTGAATAATACGGCGTGACTGACAGTCGATTCTCCGGAGTTCCTAACGTTGGTGAATATACCAGTTCGGGTTTTGCGTGGGCTCCCTGATCGATCCCCGCCCAGCCGTATCTCGGCCAGGTCGCTAGATGGTGGCGTCATTTGGCGTCCGCCGAGAGCCCCGCAGGCGGCTTAATGTGACGCAGACTTTAATTGCTCAAGATTTGAGGGAATGCCTCCGGATCGGCTGAGGATTAGATTCCACGGTGTATCAGCCGCTGTGGAGCTCCACCTCAGCGCAAGCTACCCCGATTACCCGGGAGATTCATTCCCCGAGTCCGCGACGCCCGAGGGCATCTGGGGTTGTCCCTTCATTGCTCATTGCACAGTCCACCGATGTTGTCCCGCGGTCGCAGACCTAGGATCGCTCCCGTCCTAGAATCCGCTCTCTGAGACTCAGCTGAATCGCATTGGCATCGGCGCAGGATATATCCAAGCACCTCTCCGGGATGCCGACGAGATACCTCGTTTGCGATCTCATTCTTACTGTCGGTATGTGCCGCGCGTCTCTGATCTTTCCTCCGGAAGATGGCGTCGTCGTGAACCGAGATGATTCATTCAAGGGATAGTTCATTTCGGAGGATCTGGAGGCCCAGTGTCATGCTTAGTTCGAGTGTGCAGACGCATCTCAAGACCTGTGTGCCGACGCGAGGGACTTGCCGAGACTCATCAACGACCCCGCCATCGATGCCGGCAACAGCGTTTCCGATCTCTGATGACCCGGTCACCCCATTCGCCTCCGACTTATTTTTGGGGCCGAGCTGTAGGAAACTGGGTCGGGGCGCTGCTAATGAGGCTGCTTGATATTTTCGGACCTTGACTCCATATTCCTCGCTCTCAGCCTGGCGGAGGTCACAGCTTACTCTGTCGGTTGCGAAGGGAATTCTCGTCAAAAGTTGACACTTCCCTAAATGGAACATTCTCACTAAAGCTCTGCTGCTCGGTGCGATTCCAAAGACGATAGCTTCTGATGGCAAGGATGTCCCAACGATGTGAACAATGGAAGTTTGACGGGGAATTGTCCATCCGCGCGAAAGCGTTCGCGTCGTTGGAATCATGCACGTCAAACAGCCGCTGGACGTGTCTCCTCGCGGACTCGAGGAGGGCTATGATTGTTCCGCTCATCGCTGACGCTGATCGTTGTCGCGTCAGAGTTTTCGAACATTTGGGTATTTGAGTATTGGAGCGAACAAGAATAAAAGACGAGCAGAGAGCACCGCGAATCGTTATCGATCCGCTCAGCCACGTACAATATGCGCACGTTCGCCATCATCGTCCTGTGTTCCGTGGCCGCTTGCGCCAATGCGTGGGACATGAAAGCAGGTGATTAATGTCGGAAAGTCCCGTGTCTGCGGTCAAGTGAAAATGTATTCTCAATTTGGAGCAACTTTCAGTCAGAGAGTGTGCGCAAGAGGTTGCCAGAAGTCAATCCAATGCGCTCATGGACGAGGTGAACAGGCATCTCGACAAGGTTGACAAAGAGAACGACGGCTCCGTCGTCAAAGCGAGAGAAGACTTCGAGGAGAAGACAGGGGAATTTATGGAGGCCATGTCCAGACCGTGAGTGACTTCCGCAACGATTTTCCGCCGTGAATCTGCTCCCCCTGCTCGAGATCTCAAGTAAAATCGAGTCTCTCCCCTAGTCTCAGCGACGCTCGCAAGCACTTCGACGACTGCGTGACGGAGGCCGACGGTCTGATTGCCAAAGGACGCTGTCATTACATGTGGGTGAAAGAAATCGCGACCGAAGTCCTACCCGCGATTTCTGAAGCAACCGTCGAGCTCGTCGATGCCGTCAACCGAATCGTTACGGAGTTCCGCGAGAACACGACCGCTAATTTCGACGAGCTCCGAGAAAGAGCTCGTGGATTCGCTAAGGAAACCGGTTCGCGCTTCAGGGACTGCTTCTCCGAGTAAACGTCTTTGAATAAAAAAACCCAACGCTTTTGCTCTCAATCAAAATCGCGATCGGATAGCGAATCCCTTCTTATTCGGGTCGTAGAGGGGAATCGATTCGAGCGGGGGCAGGATCAGAATTTCAGCGAGAACGGCGAGCGGCCGCCCGCGACCACAGGGAACCCTCAAGGCGTTCAGAAAATATCCGAGCATATGACACGTTTAGGATAAGCGCCTCCCGGGCTTTCTCTTGGATTTCTCAACAATTCTGAGAGGCCTGCGTCGCGAGTACCCACGACTGTCTGTGCATCCACTCGATCAATATGACACATGTAGAATATACGAACGCTCAAGCGTGGACATTGCTCCGCGGATCAGCAACGATCACTTGCCCCAAGGAATGGAAGTATCGCCCATACCCCGTTGAGACTACGATCTCACCCCTGGACTCGAGACTGTGCTTCCGCGAGAAAGGGGTGAGTGTCCGAAAGAGACTTTGTCGAAGGTTGCGACAACATTCCTGTGATCGGCACCTCCTTTCTCGACGAGGACACTGCCGTTCAATTTTGATCCGGTGCAAGTATACCGTGATGATCATGCCGGGGAGAGTATCGACGCTTCCGAGCTTGCGCGCGCGCTTCAGCGCCTTCGAAGGAGGACGGCATCGGCTTTGGAATCATCCTCTGGTGCCTCAACATTCGCTAGCTTTTCGTCAGCTGTTCGCACTGCTGCGCCCGAATTCCATGAAGCTAGAGAAGACGTCGAGCGATCCGGGTCTCGGTAACTCACGAGAGACGAACGTGGTAAAACCGGCGGTAGGATGCTCGTGAATCAGCACGCAGTCGACCCGCGGATGCCGTGCGTAAGTGGACTCCGTCTGATTCTTCCTGATACAGATTTTCGCCGTGAGCTCCTCCGACCGGTTTTCCCCCCAAAGTTCGTCTATTCAGCTTTTGATTCCCGCTTAGCGGGAATCTCTCGATCCATCATGAGCTCCTTCCCTGATTTGACTTTCGGCGACTTTTCGCAGTGGTTGTGAGGTCTATCTCATATTTTTCCAGCCTGGTTCTCATTTCGAGGGCAATGAGTACATCAAGCGAGTCCGGGACCTGATAGAAGACAAGCCTTTCGAAATAAAACCCGGCGATCGGAGGGCGTTCGGAGTTTTAGTTCATCACTTCGCTCACAACAAAAACCGAGAACTGATCCTTCCCTGCATAGACCTGATGATATGCCGGGGATTCATCTGTTCAGCGTACAATCCCGGCGACTATTCCGGTGTCGTGTGCCGAAGACATGAGAAATGTTGTTCGCGAACTAAACTCTTCATAGAGCTCCTTCATTTCTTCCGTCTGTTCCATCGGAGGTCGGCCGCACTGTCAGTGCGGAAGAGAGACTTGATGCTCCTGGACGCCGTGCTGATCCTAAGTCGTGACACTACTGAGGAAGACTTCCTCGAGTTCGAAGAGACGAGCGCCGAGGAAATAGCTTTGATCTTCGAATGTCAACAGATCCAGATAATCGATGAAGCACTGTCCATAAAAAAAGGCTTCAAGATTGAGAAACTCGAGGACTTGGAATACTTTCGAAAGGCGCAAGCTATCCGTGACCGGCACGGGGTTGAGCGTGATCCCCGTCCGGCGAAATGCTTCGAGTCCATGGAGGATATAGACGCTCTGGTGGAGCAGCTGGAGCAGAGGAACCCGGTGGAATTCCTCAGCCAGTCCTACGCTCTGGGTCTGATCAACAGCCGGCTGCTTCGAACAATGTATCACACCGCGAATGATTTCGAGCAGCTGGTCAGCCTTCTGGATCGAACGGCGGACTCCCGGGACCATTACGATGACGTGAATCTGAACCGAGAACACTCCCGGATGTTCATCGCTGCATTCAGCCACATCCGGAGACTGCAACCAACTTGGTTCCAAGCGGTTTTGCTCTTCCTGATCGGCGTCAATGTTCCTGACGGTTGGCACCTGCCCTGCACAGATTTGGAAACCATACCTCAACGCTATCTTGATATCTATCTCCATTATCTGCTCATCTACTCGCTTAAATGTCTCACGAAGCCCGATCTCCGGATCGACGACTTGGAGCTGATGAACAATCTGTTGAAACTGCCCGGCATCATCGACAGACTCCTGGCTCGCGGCGCGTCGCTGGTTTACGCTGCGGACTCACACGCTGCCGTCAGGAAACTGCTCTATAGATATTGTCCGAGCATACTGCTCCGCAGCGCGTACGTCGACGCGCCTTTCACGGCGCTCTCCAGCCTCGGAGCTCTTATCAGACTGACGCAGATCCGCAGAGAACTCACTTTCGGAGATTGGCTTCCAGACCTTTGTTGCCATGTTCGGAGACTGAACACGATCTTCTTCCACGATAACACTCGCCTCTCCCCACTGCGATGTCTCGCGGCCCGTGCCTACGTTCTGGACAGGGATTGTAAGGAGCTCCCCGTCGGCTTACGTGGGACGATACTTCTACATCAAGACCTCAAGCACATAATCAGCCCAAAACCCGAGATCAAAGATCCGAAAAACCCTTGAGCAAGCTCTCCGACGCTCTCGTGCCTCCGGAAAAAGAACTGACTGCAATATTCAACTTCACCAAGTTTCAGGATTCCTGAGCGGCGGGAGCTCCCCTACATTCCGGGGAGACTCTTTCCGCGGGCCAATCTGTATTTGTGAAGAAAATAGGAACGAATAAAGGAGGCTTCGAATCCCCTTCCGGGAGACTGCCATACCATTTAAAAGCCATTTGCACGCCAAAAATTATCGCTGTGACTAGGAATCACCATGTGGAAACAGAGATGAAGCTGGTGCGAAGAGAAGTGGATTCATTGCAGCATGGTCGTGGACTCCTCGGACTCACGCGAGCCCCGATCGAGATCCGATCAGACCTCGGTTCCAATAGATTTTGCGGAATCCTTCGCTGGGAGATCGCCCGAGCGAGGCACAGGTAGCGAGGGTTGCCCTGAGAAAGACTGACCTCATGAAGCAGTAGATGGTCTGCGGCTCTTTGAGTGCGAAGCATGCGCGGTTTCGCCGCCGATCGAGGTTGACCACCGAGTTGCCGTTGAAATACAGCGATCGAACACGAGTGTCGTATCACTCGTAGGCGTCTTACAGTCAACGCATTGAATACTCATGCAATCTGCCGAATTAGGAGGCTCGATTCGTAAGGAGATCAGAAGCTCCTCGTTTTCTCAATTCAATCTATTCGTAATCATCCGCTGTGAGTATCCACTGGGGAGATGGTCTGTCCCGGGAAACGATATTTCGTCGAGCACGACCGTTCGTGATCTCGTAGGTCCGCTCTCTATATAGACTTTCGAAGTCTAGGCGTTTCATCCGTTTCTTTTCAGTCGAAAGGTATACCTATCTCATACGTATCTCTGAACGGGAAAAGCTGAAACACTTGACATCGATGGAAAAGCAGCCGCGCTCACAGGTATCGCTCGGGCCCTAGATTCCATTAACACGTACTAGACCTCGCTTATTGCCTTATTTCTCATCGCAGGGATCGTTTTCAGAATGGCTCAGAGCGACCGATGGTCCGGGTCAGAAGTACCCGGATCTTCCGGTCTTTCAAGACCAATCGGCTTCCAACTCCGGAAAAATATTCAATTATGCACTCACTCAGACCCATGATCACACACACAGCTAACACGTCCGAGGAGAAGCTCGTGTCGCCAAGGTCGCTCCATGCTACGTTCGAGACCGATCCTCAAGCCCTATGCGGCCATTTAGTTCCCTGATTCCCGAATTCCGACTCCTGTCTCCGAGTCGTGGATAATCTCGCATGGAATCTACTTTTTCATTCATCTCCGAGACGGAGACTGTTATGCTTCTCTTGAGGAGCGAGGTAAGTCTGGGGAAATAGGGCGTTGGCGAAGCAGGTAGCGCTGCGAGGCCGCCTCAGGGTCACACAGCTGTCAGCTCTATCGAAGTTCGTCACGGTTCACAATGCCCCACCATCGTCCCACAAGAGAATTGTGGATGCGACGACGGATAGCAATAGAGTCTCTTCCGTGAAGAGGGTAGAAGAGTTCCTCATCGATACCCGTCCCTCTCGATCTTTCGCGCGATGTAGAACCAGGGCGGCCGCTGAAGCACACGTGACCACCAGGAGCCAGATGTCCAGACTGAGGAGTGATCGTGCAACATGAGCGGTCTTTCTCATCGGGGAAACTCGACCTACGACTATGAGCGGAGCGTTTGGAGGGATCCGGTCGTCGAACGCCTTCCCATTCTTCCGAATGCGAACACGATGGTCGAGGGCAGGGAAATTCGCGACCTCCACTCCGTCCAAATGACGACGTGTGGACGCGTCATCGTTCTTTGAGTGGTATAGAGCTTGCGTAGAATAGAGCGAGAAAAATCCGGTGTCGAGTCAGAACTCTCCAGTTGCGGAGAAGAGACAGCCGCTGAAATTGTAATCTATCGGAGCTGCGACGACTGTGGAGTGAGGAGGATCAGCGATTTCCTGTATCGTTCGAAGGCTTTGGATCTTCCGAGATATATGCGACTCTAGACCGTCAGTCCTGAGGCAGCGACGAGAACGCGGAGGCGGTCCGTCCTTGCCAAGGTCCTGCCCATCAAAGAGCGGATAAATCTTCAGAATTTTCTAGCCAAAGCGACGCGCGTCGTTTACAGGTGCCTAGTAGCATGCATTGATGCGAAGAATCTTATGTTTTTCGGAAGTTGCTTCCTAGATTCATTGATATTCATCATGGAATGACGCGAATGGATTGAAAAGCGAACGGGCAAAGCCGTGGACAAATTGATTCTTCAGGAGCCTCGAACCATTAGGAGGCATCAGCCTGTGTTCGAGGGTGGCGAAATTCACAAGAATCGGTCACTAAATCTATGGTCACCCCGTATGTGGAGTGGATCGCAGTAATGGGAAGTGATCCACGAGTCCTCGAGTGGAAATTTCAGCATGGAGATCGGATTCGCGTATGTGTCGAATGAAGAGCCCAGACTCATCGATTTTTATGAACATATATATTTTGATCACACAAGCTCAGCCTTTGCACAAAGGATCGTTCGGCTTCCTCGCGGCCATTTTGATTCCTCGTCTGCCGTGTGCTCGCTGCACTCATCGCCGCTTGCATGAGATTTGTCTTTATTTACAAATTTGGTGCGAGTGAATTTAATCTAGGAATCTCAGTGTTCTTCTTTCAAAACAACCGGTGATACTCCCCTCATCGATGCAATCACCTCTCAGATCCTCGACTCAGACTCTCCATGAGCGCTCGATGCGACGCTCTTCTGCTCACTCACGCTTCCCATCTTACCGAACTTTCATATTCAATCGACGACTGGGAAAAATAGATATAGAAAACTGCTCTCAGCTACTTGTTCCCGGATACGCTTTTCCGATTCTAGCTCTCACACAGGAAGTACATCCTCCCGGAAGCATCACTCACATGATAAAGAAAATATCAAATCTGGCACGGGTATAGTGAATTTCGGAGGCAGACTCGTGAATGTCTGTAATTCTCGAGATTTAGCATTGAACTTGAGAACTCCCGCTCCCCGATATAGATACGAGCCGATACCGGCTTGAAGTCGGCCGATCCGAACGATCAAATCAGGTGGGGACATTCTTGTTATCACTTCATCGCGGATTCCGTTGCTCTGTAAATTGTCATCTGTGTCCTACCGCGAGGAGATGATGCTTTCCATCGATAGCTCGACCGCTCCATGAACCTGAGTGCCTCACTCGTCATTCGAGCTTGGTGGGGATGACTGCCGCTCCCAGACTGAACATTTCATATCTCACATCACTATATAGTCTATAACAGTTAGGATCACTGTCTATCTCGTATTGATGGTACTATGACCATTTTCCAACGGTGTACGCTGATCTCTATTCGTGAGCTTATCGATCAGTTCTTGGAGCGGTACGAGTTCTCGTCTCTCGATCAGACTGAACTCCTGCACGAAGAAGATGAAATGCTTGAATGACGTGTTCAGGTGCGCTTCCTCGCCCAATTGCACTACTTGTGCAAAATGCTGATGATATATGTGTGCGTACACCTGTAAGAATTTGCGGAAGCTCAATGATTCCAATATGGAATAAGTGACCGAAACTTCGGATCGCCTTCCACCCGTGGATCGATGTGGGGCATAATCTTGTCCGATGACATCTCGCTACTCCGTAAGATTCAGGCCGTTCTCGCCCGAAGAGGAGTCGGAACATTGGAATATACTCAGAGCTAAACTCACCCTGAATAGTCGTTTTAGAATCGTTTTGGCGATTGACGGGAAATTCTTCGGGAAAGGGACTCCGATTTTCGAGGGAAATAATGTCTCGTCATCCAGCTGGTCCTGAACCTGCGGAAATTGACAGGATCTTAGTCGATGCCTTCTTCATGATCTACTCATCTGCTGTATCGCATGTTTCGGTATTCCAGTCATTACAATGAGAAATTAATAAAATGTACGTACCCATGTCATGAGATAGTCGATGTATCTTGGTGCGGAACATTTGATTGGCTTTTTGACAGTGGTACCATCTGCCCAATGGTATTCGTATTTCGGTCCGGCAGACATAACCGGACAAGTCTCTTCTCGACAGAATTCTGTTATTGTGCCGTACAGCATGTTGATCTGGTTAAAAAAATCTACCGTGTTTACTGCGACCTGCGAGGGGAAGAAACGAAACCGATCTTATTCGGGAGCGCTGCGACCAGAGCAGATGCGAGAACTCCATCCGGATCTAGAGTCCGTCGACTCCGCTCAGAGTCGCTCGGTACAGACTAAGAGACGCGGCAATGGTGGATTCGAAGTTCGTTGATTCCAAGGTGAATGCAACGTCATCCGATCCGAAGCTTGATCCGTCGAGCTGAACGGGATGATTGCTTCGCCTGACGGCGAGATGCTAAGTGATGTCTCCTGGAGTCATCGACTCACCCATTCGTTGAGATCTTCGCCTTCAGGGAGCATGACTGCTAACCGTAAATTCCCGCTACCCAGAGTTGCCGCTGCTTGTTTCATGAGGTCATATTGGTGGGTTCCCTCGGGGATATTCTTTTTGGGCTTGAAGGTCTTCGAAGCCCGGCTGCCACTGAAAGAATTCGTAGAATGAACTCGATGAGATTTGTAGATTCCATGAGGGGGATCGTCACCGGTAGGGACTCGGTTGGCCATCGTTCTCCACGGAATAAGTGAGCGTGCGTCACAAAGCTGTCTGAGCGCCGTGATCTGGCACGGAACCACCGGGATTGCGAGAAGCGGAGAGCTTGCCGAAAAGGACTCGCAATCGAAAATCGGCGCTTCAAGATATTCCCTACCAATGATGTTTGCCGTGCAAGCAGATAACCTAGGTCCGAAGCTACCCTCCGGATCCATGTTAGATTCCCTCGGCTCGAAATGACATAGATCGAGTGAAGCTCACTCTATGTTTTGGAGTTGGAAAACTTCGCCGGGGGTGAAACTCAAATTAAAGCGGCAAGATGCGGAGAGTACTGCGACAATTCCTCGCGGAACCAGGAATGAGTCCCTGCCGCTGCATTCGGAATGCCAGGAGCCAACGCATGCCTGCTCCATGCGAGGGCGATCAGATGCGACCTCTTGGAAGAGCTACGAGAGGATATCAAGCGATAGAGCTCGCTCGGGAAACTTACAATAAAAAGCTCATGTCTGCTTTGGAAGTGGGAGGTTGGTCTTGGAGATCACTATGAACACACGCTTTCTGTCGCGAACGAAGCTGCTTCGACTCTTTTCTTGGATAAAAACAAGAAACTACTAAAGTTTCAACCAATAAACAACCGGACTAACCGACCAACCACCACTCTATAGATAGAGACCCTCTCGGCTGATGTTGTGTTTCTTTTGTCCGAGTAGTCGCTGGTAGATTCGGACCCTACGTTGACCGCTACCGCTCCGGTACCGATCACCCGGAAACTCGGGTTCCGCGCTGTTCGGATCTCTAGTCTCTACCGGGGTCTGTTGAGAGAACTTGACTGAATCTTTTACTCCTCCGAGAGCGAGGAAAGTGGGAACGATTCAAATCGCAATATCCAGTGGGGGAGAATACGCCGCCAGCGCTGTTGCCAGGGAGAAGTTTCACGAGCCGCTGCCCGTCTGCACGGAGGTACTTCCGGGTGAAGCTGCGGAACACTTCTGTGGCGTCTCTCCAGAGCTCGCAAATGCAGAGCGTTCACACACGCCAACCTCTACCGGTGTGATTATTCGAGCAAGTAGATCTGCATCCCGCGGTACCGTGGAGCGGTAGTGAATCGTTTCCGTTAGTGTATACTCTCGGAAAAGTTTGCGGTAAGTTCACGATTCTCTCCACTCTGACGGCTTGGGAGTGGACCGGTAGGCCTATACCGAGATCCGGCGTATGTCAGATGAGTACATCAACCCTGTTCCGGGTCAAGTGAGATGTCCAGCTCGGAACAGAAGAATTCAAGCACCGCTCATCTCGCTCCAATGCCTCTCCGTCGGAAGTTTCCCAAACAACTTCATGGGACCGATTGTGAGCAGCGTTGAGGGAGATGATCACCGGATCAGGTTATCGAGAAGCGGTGACTCCGGAGCGGCTGACTGATTTAACTAGGAGAAGCTTGTGTGTTCCTCTTGGAGCTTGCGGCTCCCGTGAAGTATCTCGATGCGCTACTTGCTATCAAAATGAACTTGATTCTGAGAAAGGGGGTCTTCCCGTGGCACGAGAACACGATACCGGAGAGGAATAGATCGAATCGCTATTTGGAACGAGCGGCAAAACTCTGTTGATATTCTGGCGTGTTTCATCTGTTCTTCCTTCTTTTTTGCAGGCACGTTTAAGACTACATTTAAAATCTCGGAATGTCGGACGGCGAAGCGGATACCATCGTCAGGCTCCGTGGAATGCCCTGGAGTTCGACAAATGACGATGTTCTGAACTTCCTTGGTTCCGACGTTCATGTTCTGAGTGAGTACCGTGGCGTCGCATCGCGCGTGATCAACCATCTAGGTAGCGACGGCGTATCGTGTATGTCCGTGGCGTTCCGAGTGTCTATCACAGGACATTGTTTTGAGTCACCTGGGATTGCCCGAACCACGAATCGCAATCCGGGATCGAGCTACATCCCTCGCGATCATGCGAATCGATGTCCCGAGACATTCTTGACAGAGCGGATTTTCTCGAGTAGATGGCAAGGACGGCATTCATTTCACCTACACTCGCGATGGTCGCGCGTCTGGCGAAGCTTACGTCGAGCTGGAATCGGAACCAGACGTGGAGAACGCTCTGAAGAAGGACAATGAGAACATGGGCAACAGGTTTGTGGATGCCTCTTCTTAGCGAATTTCGAAATTATGTTTTCGAGGATATCTGCTACGGGTCTCTATCATTCGACCGATATCTTCCAGATACATCGAGGTCTTCCGTGCGAAGAGAGCCGAGATGGAATGGTGCATGAAGAAAAGTTCATCGAATACCCTGGACGAAGGCATCGTGAGACTGCGAGGCATTCCCTTCGGTTGCTCGAAGGAAGAAATCGCGAACTTCTTCTCCGGTAAACTTCTTTCAAAACTCCTTCCATACTTACTTCTGTTTCTCAGCCAGACCAGAGACAGCCAGTGTCCTTAAGATCTAGATCGATCGATCTTTCGATCAATTGATCTGTACGGGAGGAGACCTGATCGGGAAAATTTGGACGGAGGAAGTCTCCCAATTTCCCCTGGAGAGCGGTCGAAAGGGCATCAAAACCGGGTTTTCGGGACAGAAAGAAACCTCGAGACGAATTGACGGTCTTGTGACGGCTCGCTTCGGACTTCAAACGGAGTTGAGGATATTGAATGATCATACGACCATCTAGGCAGAGGAGAGATCTTCGATTCGGCGCCCGGGTCCAGTAGGAAACGTAGAGTAGGAAGAATCAATGGGACCTCAGGAGGACAGAGCGTTTGTGGGAAGGTGGTCTATTGGTTGGTCAAAGGCTCGATGCTTTGGTTGCTGGTAACGGTCGATGTTATTTGGGTTTTGTAGGGTTGGAAATAGTTCCGAATGGGATTGTGATTCCTGTGGATTTCAATGGGAGGACAGCGGGCGACGCCTACGTACAATTTGCGTCGAAAGAAGCAGCCGAAAAAGCGCTCGAAAAACACAAAGAGCGTATCGGCCACAGGTTGGTAGACTTTGAACGTGGACAATCTCGAACATGGACAGGGAGGTCAGGTCGAACGGGTAATGTTGTCAAGGGTAAGATGCAACCGTCGGGCAGCACCAGCAACGGCAGCGTCGGACGCAGGAAATACGTGAATGATCTAATCAGGAATGGAAAATCGGGAATGTAAAGACCGAATGAGGGATACCTGTCCCTCAGAACCTTTCGGAAGGGCTGGTCGATGAGGATGGGGGAGGCGGCGCTCGCGCGAAATTCAGGTTTCCATCATCAGCACCCTTCCCGGGTACATCAGTCTGAACGTCAGTCTGCTGAGATGCCGCCATAGGACCGGGTCATGTGATCCGCTGCCGGGCCTTAGACACTAGCGGCTCTCGAGAAAGATTATCCTACATCATGGAATTCTATCGTCGATTCGATTCTCCTCATTCTATTCTTGTTGTCGTCTCCAATTCTCAACCCTGGGCTTGATATCTTCACGCCGACGAGGGTTCCAGTCAATCGATCATCGTATGCGCTTCCGGATGCAGCTAAGGCCTGGATTCACGGCTAGCGTGGTATCCCATTCTGAGGAGAAACTTATGGAAGACGCAGATGTGAAAAAATACAGAAAAGTTCCCGGAGGGAGCGCGCATTCTGCCCCTCATCGTGGAGGGAGCGTGAGGATCGCTCGGGAAATCCTTCTCGCGGATGTCCGATTCAGATTCGTAGCTCGGAAACACCTGCTTTTCTGATCCCTTGCGTTGATGTTTCTTCCACGAGTTTTTTGCGCATGCGTGACGGAGATGGTTTTCCCTCAGTTTTTCAATTGTTCGTTCCTTAGGACATGCTTGGATAATTCCTTTGAAAATTTCACGCTCTCGACCATCGAATGAATGTCTAACCGATCTTTCAAACACAGATATATCGAAATCTTCAAATCGAGTCTCAGTGAAATGGAGAGCTCACTGCACGCTCAGTTGCGTTCGTTCGGAGGCGGATTCGGAGGTAGCGGAGGAGGCGGCCGGAACTTTGGAGGGGCTGCTCCACAGAGAGGGGGGCGTCCTGGTCCATACGACCGTATGATGGGACGGGGTCCCCCACCTCGGCGAGACGAAGGCTACAGCACCGGTGAGTTCTGACAGCAGGTTTTCGTCAGTTCACAAGCTTGGGCTCTGGGGTGAGAGTGAGCTCACGGAGGAATTAATTGCAGGATATGACGACTACGGGTACGGGGGTCGCCGCGCAGGCAAGTCGAGTGGTGCCTCCTACTCCGGACAGGGTCACTTCGTGCACATGAGGGGTATCCCATACAAAGCCACAGACTCGGATGTGTACGACTTCTTCGCGCCCCTGCGACCAGTCAGCGTACAATTCATTTACGAAGCCGGTGGACGTCCTTCGGGCGAATGTGACGTTGAGTTCTCTTCGCACCGAGACGCTCAGGACGCGATGGCCAAAAACAACGCTCATATGGGAACGAGATACGTGGAGTTGTTCCTCAAAAGCAACCCCGGTAGCATGAGCAAGGGACACGGCAACGGCCAAGGACACAGTAAGTCACCTAGTCGAGATTTCTTAGCTTCCTCGGGATTGGGGAGAGAAGAGAGAAAGAGAAAGATAGTTGGAAGTCCGTGATTTCCCCTTCCGGGGTCTCCCCGATGACGGCGATCACCATGAGAGAGCCGTGTATTCGTGCTCACAGGGTACATAGATTCGTCTCCGTGTCCCGAACGCTTGATGTCCCGATTCGAACAAAAGTGCTGCTTCCAGATTACTTCTCGAACGAATACGATGAGTATGAATACGGAGGAGGAGGAGGTGGCGGCGGCGGCAACAGCGGTGGCGGGGGCAGCATCGCCTTCCGGAGTTCCCGCAACGGAGGTTTCGGACCTTCGGGCGGCCATTTCGTCCACATGCGTGGCCTGCCCTACAAGGCCTGTGAGGATGACGTGTTTCAGTTTTTCGATCCGATCCGACCGGCCAGCGTCAGGTTCACCTTCGACGCCACGGGTCGGCCCTCCGGTGAATGCGACGTTGAATTCGCTTCCCACAGAGATGCAGCTGAGGCCATGGAACGGAATAATGCCCATATGGGCAACCGTTACGTAGAGCTCTTCATGAAAAGCTCGGCCCAGAACAAGGCTTTCGGGAACGGAGCTGCTTGCCATGGTAAGCGGTCGAATCCGTTGATTGAGTCCAAACGTTCCGTTTCAAACCGATCACCAATCGGGATATTCGCTCTTTAGACGAAGACTAGGAGGTAGACTATTGGAAGAGGAGGTAGAGAAACTCTGGGGCTCGATCGCTCGCCCCGCGTCCGTGTTACGATCCGCTGTAGGCTGTTCGAGTAACGTTGCATAGATTTCTTTTCAGTTCCGTCGTACTCCACAAACGACTATTGAGCATCAGCAGTCTGATCTACTGCGCCGTGCACTGCGCCACTACATACGGCAACGGAGGCGGTTGTATAGCTACCGATAGCCATCGAGAACTCTCATTCCCGGTAGTTGAGTACGTTCGGAAGCAAACGGAAAAACTATGACGAACACAAAGTCAAATGCAGACTTCTCGTACAAGGTCTGAACAATAAGATAAAACCACTCATCCAGGACCAATCATCAAGGTCGCGAAACATTACGTATAAATACCCATATACATGCTTGAATGGAGATATACATTAGCCAGTTAATTGAACTTCGGAGGAGAGAATGAATGAAGGAACGCCCGAGTAGCTGAGTCATCGTCAACATTCTAGATTTTCGTGACCAGGAGTGATATCTCTCCCTTTTCTCCATTGTAATCGTCTTCACTGTGTGTAAGCGCGAGCATCGAATCCGAAATGAATAAATAAATATCTGCGCGATAAGTGACCCACTGGTTCGTTTCTTCCTCCGCCTCTCACGAATTCCGAGATCCTAGACCTAGACCCTCCGCTTCCCGAGGGCCATCGGCGAAAAGAGGGGTGGGTGCAGAGGGGGCGTCGAGTCGGAGAACTTAAGTTCGCAATCAATGAGATGACTCCATCCGCGGAATGAGGAGCGGGAATCTTGTGTGCTCGTTGCGGAGTATCGCAAGAGGGGCGGGAGGAAGGGGAGTATTACGAGCGGAGGGGGCAGCTCATCCCGAAGAAGATTTCAATGGAGGGTATAGGCGGATTCACCGGTAGTCTGAACCATGTCGTATTGGAAGCTAAGAGTTTCCCATAGGCCCTTTGAGAGCAGAAAACTTCGTTCTCATGGGGAGTGCCGTGAGACTTCCCTTATATGCGGGACTTTGGACAGCATCCTAAGAGGGTAGCGTGGACAAGAAAATGATTCTCTCTGAACCCGCACGTTAGCGATCCCTTGAGACTCCGACGGGCGTAAAGTTCTCAGTGAGAGACAGGCACTCTTGGAACGTCATTTGACCGCAGCACGCACCGAGCCGACATTGATCAGAACCAGTGGTGAGAGTCATTTTGTTAAAACCATTTTATTCGTATTCATTGTTCGATCTTTCTCCAAAGCCTAGAGTTACCTAATGCGCTCACACAAACAGTTTAATTTTCTTCCTAACACGAAGACTCTTAAGTCAATTGTGTTTAGCTGTGTGCAATTGTGCTCGACACGCGCACGCACGGAGGGTAATCATCCGGAGGGAAAGGAGGAAAATTCCATATCTTCTCAGTCGGAACGAGTTTCCAATGAACAACAACAGGAACGTGCGCGATACGGGAAAAATCATCGGACCTAACCGCCGAAACGATGGTCGTCGTCGTTCTTGTCGAGAAGAGGTTCATCATGCGAAGACGTGCCGTGTCCTTCTGTTTTGATGATTATGATGATACAGGTGTCGATGATTTCGCTTTCGGTATGCTTGCCGCTTCATCCGTATGACGTTCTCGTTCTTCCTCACACGTATTCACGATGTGTGCTTTGATCGATCGTGAATGTCATCATACATCGTCTCGGGAGGTTTTCACATTTTCGATGTAGGCAACTTTCGGAGCGCTGTATGAACAACGAGCCCCTCGTTTGTTGGATTTTTGTTGGATTCTTTGAGACCTAGTAGTCGATGCTCAGGTCGTGGTTTCATGGGTTAAAGCTCGCTCACCGCGAGATTTTGGCTGTTTAGCACCAGTCACCCATGAAGGTGAAGTTGTCAAACTGTCGTTGGTCTTTCACGGTCAGGGCGTTGCGGTTCTCCTTCGGGGGTGTGAGTTCCGGTCGCTCCTGAGTGAACTCTGAGTCGAAGTTCGAAACGTCCTCCATGTTACGGACCTGGAACGATATTTTACACGCAATCAGACGCGAGCGATTGGCTCCTTTCCTTTCTCCTGCCATGGTGTAGAATGAATATCCCTCTCGACGGGATCATTCCCCCAAGATCGGGATAATTCTCTTTATTCTTGTCAATTGCGAATTTCTCACCGTTGGAACGAATGGAGGCTTCATGCGCTTGGACAGTAAGTCTTCCCAGTTGATGTTTCTGAAGAACGCCTGCTTCTTGACGTCCTGTGCATCCCTCTCAGAAGCACCGAGTCGCTTGTCGGGGTTTTTCCGCAGAAGTCGCCGCATAATAGCGATCGGTTCGATTGAGAGGAACCTCGGGTATCTGACTTCATCGTTGACGATGGAGTCGAAAACTTCCTCTTCGTCATCGCCCGGGAAAGGCGACTCCCCAACTAACATTTCGAAAATGAGTACCCCGAGGCCCCACCAGTCGACGGCTCGCGTATATGAGGTGTCGGTGAGCACTTCGGGCGCAAGGAACTCCGGTGTTCCACAGAACGTTCCCGTCCTGTCGCCGTAGCCCATCCCTTCCTTGCAGAGGCCGAAATCGGCGATTTTAACGTAGCCGTCTTTATCCAGTAGGAGATTGTCGAGTTTCAGGTCTCTGTAGATGATCTTGTTGTCGTGTAAATACTCGAGGCCCAGGACGACGCACGCCGCGTAAAATACTGCTCGAGGCTCGTTGAAAATATCGGTGTGGATGTGCATCATAAGATCTCCGCCGCAAGCGTACTCCATAACGAAACAGACGTGTTCTCCTGTTTGGAAACACGCGTGAAGGTTGATCAGGAATGGATGTTTCGTCGCGTTCGCCACCTGCAAGCACGATGAAACAAAAATGAGCCCCTTCCCATGAATAATACAGAAGTCGAAAACCCTCTGGGGGAGGTAATCGGAGGAGCAGGGAAGGGAAGCGGAAGCTGGCACGCACCTGGAAAATCCGTTTTTCTGCGAGTAACGACTCGAGTTCGTCACGGGCGAGGATGTCGGCTTTCTTCAGGGCTTTGATGGCGTAGTACTCGTTGGTGGCTTGGTGTTTCGACAAAATAACTTTTCCGAAATGTCCTCTCCCCAGAACTTTGAGCATCTGGAAATCGGTCAGCTGGAGCAGCTGTTGTGAGGAAACCACCGCAGACGTCGATGATGACACCGGAGGTGTCGAGGGAGCTGACAAAGCCTCCAACGAGTGAGTGCTCAAAGAGTGGATCGACAGCTTATCTGGAATGCCTTGACTGCCCCGACGATTGTTGTTATTGTTGTTGCTAAGGTTTAGATCCTCGAGGGAGCCGACGGGAGCTTCGACGATTGGCTGTGGCGATGGTTCGTGAGAGGACGTGGCCGAAGACGAAGTGGAACTTTTTTCCGTCGGCACGGGAGGCATCGAAGTTGCTACTGTCCTCGGTGAACGGGGGAATTGTGTGCGATGATGACCATTGTTCTCCGCTTGATCGTACGTGTGCAAACGGAGCCATGTGAAAATGTCCAGGCCCGCGGGACGAGGTCTCTCTGAAAATCGAAGAGAACATTGATATGAGTCGAGCACTCCAAGCCAAAAAAAACTGAGTGCATATGAAAGTGTATTGCTGATCTCTGAGTCCACTCGATCCATCGCTCATGATCGTAGCATTTAGATGATGATCTCTCCGGGACCTTCGACTCCATCATCGGAGAAGTTGAGCTCGCCCGGGGGCAGAGACTGAATGAACCGACTTCTCTCGCGTGCTCCATACCGTGACAAATCAGCGACGCAAGCAGTATACCAATCATGGCACCGACAGAAAATCCACTTCTTCGCTTTGCCCGCGCCACGCACTTTATGCTCGGAAGGAATCCCTGAAGCCTCCGGAAAACGAGGCGACATGAGCGCCCTCTGTCAAGCGTGTCCCTCAAGGGGTCCTCTGGACTCGGTGCGTGGGCATATCGGCTACTGTATGACTCACTGCACGAGTACGTGGGGAGTTCCAGGAAGGCTCAGCCTCACGGAATCTCCCGGGGGTTCGCGGAAACCCCATTCCCAGAAGGAATTATTTTCTCTCAATTCAGATAGCCCAAGGGGCTCGTATTTCGATCTAAAAAGGTTGGTAGAGCTCGATTGGCGGAGGGGCTCTAATACGCAGCCCAATTTTCTGCTCAATTCAATGATTGACTCTCGAAATTATTTCGTCCGACCGCCGGGCCGGCGCTTATATTTCATTTAATCGCCTTCATCGCAGTCAATGTCAAGCTCCGAGAGTATTCGAATCGGAGTCATTCGGCCTGATGGGATACCCCTCAGACAGTGGGACTGATTAGGCACGGATAACTGATCCAGCGAGTTGGCGGAAACGTAGCAATTCCTGGCGATGGGTGCCACTGTATCGGTGTCGAGCCATCGGGGGAATCCTTATGATGAGATTTCCCCCTTGCCCCCGGGAATCCTCAAATAATGACGACGATGGAGCGCCGGACTTGCGAGAACTTACTTCTTTCAATAAACATTTTCTTCTGACGAATCAGCTTGGGCTTGCTGTCGATGATAGGGTTGATGAATCGGATTTCGGCGAATATAACCCCTTGCGGTTCCAGCTCGATCGCCATTCCGTGTCTGTCCTCTCCGACAAACTCGTCTAAGCGGACGTACTTCAAACCACACATTCCACGCCAGTCCTTCCAGAAAACCTGCAGCTCCAACTCGCGGGATTTTTCCAGATCCACCGTGAAACGTTGGTCCCACGCCTGCGAACGAAGAGAAAAGTTGAGTGAACGAGGATTTGCTCAAGCCCGATCAATCTCCGGTCCTGAAAAAATTCTCGGGACTTCGGAAAAGAGGACGATTGGCATATCCCCGGATGGTATCGAGTTCGGTCCCTTCTGGCTAAAGCATTGTATCCGCATGCGGAGGTCATCGGAAAGGTCAAGCTGAGCCCGGCACGATGGCCGTGACGAATGATTTCCCGACACGTTCTTCGTCCTTGGACGTTGTTCTCGAGAGGCCTCATAGTGGCACCCGCTGCGTGTGTCGATGATGCTGTCATCTGACGTCTCGCTCAACGCTATGAATAACAGCATTCGACCCGTAGGCTTTGCATGTGAAGCACCGGTCAGACGGAGGAGTAGCTTCATGAGATTGTGAAAAGATTTGCTGACTTACAATCCAGTGTCCAGACTTAGGGATCAAGTTGTGCAGAGAAGTCCCGATGGCACTCTACAATAATTTCAAAACATTGTCAGCGATTCCGCGCGGCATCACCGGGGGAAGGAAAATTCCCAAGACGTACGGGTGAGGCTGAACGACGCAGACGGAAAAGACACCTGACCGGAGGAAACGCAATCACAGCGGAGACATGTGGACGAAGTAACGACGCGACGCTAACGACGTGGAATCATACGCAAGGACCATGGGGAAGGATCTCGATTGGGTTAAAAGATTCGGGGAGCGAGCATTCTCGAATCAGCCAGAGAGAAACTCGAGGAATCGATCCTGAAGAGTTTCACACCCTCACCTAACCGGGTCTGAGCCTCGGTCATCTCATACAGACACAACACACCGCTCACGGATTGGAGGACACGATGCTTGCCCAGGATTTTTTCTTGCCCATGTTTTCATTTCTCCCCTCGCTGAAGCCCAAGAAGCGGAATGCAGGTTCTCCAGGCGACGGAGAGGCCAAAAACGGGATAATTCGGGATCGATTTAGGTACATACCTGCTGAGAACAAGGTTTTGCATGCGTCTGACCGGCAACAATGTTGTCCAACTTGAGTATTGCGTATATCTCATTAGAGAGATCTCCTTTAATCTCGTAGGATCGTGAGGAACGGGGATTGCGTGCGGGTAGAACCGGTGGTAGGCGACCTGAAAAGCACGTGACGGAACTTCAGTTAGGATGCCTGTCTCGGTGTAAGTGGGTGGGTCGAGCTCCCGAACTCATTCGAAAGAGATCGACCACGCCGAGCAATCGTATGGGGATGATTCGTTCTGATCGAAAAAGAAAGCGCTGACTTCATTGGCCCACTGCTCTATTTGTTGTCCATTTCAGAGATCACTGGGCAGAGGGCCAGAGAGGAACAAGGCACGCGCTCAAAGGAATGAAAAAGCGACGATGATGGACATCATGGCCTCGGCGCTAAGGATGATTGTCTCACGAGGATCGTTTTGTTGGCCGCTGGGAGCAGCTTCTATTTTTAGCGAAACTGTTCGTACATGGCGAATGGTAGATGCGGCCCATTCTTCGCCTTTTCGACATACTACACTCATAGCAGAACGGAACAGACGAGACGCTGAGAGTCGACAAAAGGGGATCTCATCCGACTGAGTGGATACTTCCTGACCGCGAACGAGCGTACGAAAGACGTGTTCCGATTCCCGCTCAGCACCGCCGCAGAGAAACTCACCAGGAACATCAACAAGGAGGTTTTGACAGCCCATGAGGCGAACTTGCAGCTGTCCGGTCACAGCGTTCGGTTTCGGCAATTCATACGATGTAACTGACGACAAAGACGCGACCGAAGTCGGTGACTGGGGGTCACTGGTGCTCAGGGAGGTCCGATCGATTGCAGTTTCCAACAGTTCGATGGCTTTTCGTATCAAGTCAATCTTCTGACTGGATTCGACGAGACTGGCCTGAGCTTCGTTCATGACCTGCAACATTCGATGTACGTCGAGATTTATTCTCTGCAGACGAATATATTCACGGACGGGATTCTAGAATTTCCCTCGATACGACAGAGAGGGGATAGCGGCGGTAGCGTTTCACCCACCTTTTTGTCTATACAGGAGCGAATCACATTCCGCGCTCCTTCCATAACCGCGGTTTCAACTTTTAATCGGTGTTTGAGCTCCTGGTAGCGGAGCTCCGTCCGCGAAGGCGCTTCCCGCTGTTGACCCGCTTGAGTTTGTTGTTTCTGGATGATCATCTTTATGTACTCGATTTTGGCTTTCGAATCCTGTGGAAGATGAACGTCTTAGATTTTGAGTCTCCCGGCATTCTCAAAGCCGTTGGCCAGATGCATTTATTTTTGGTGCCTCGATAGCCGATCGATGGGTTGCCGATGGACATCCTAGACGGAGCCAGGAGATCAGGAATCACTCAGCCGGAGCGGACATCTCCACGGAGAATATATCCATAGAGCCTTGAGACCTTCCACGTTAAGCTAAGCATCACATACTGATTCATAGATTATTCAGGTTATCCGACATCAACGCTCAGCTATGGGAAAAATCTTCGCACTCCCGTCCGCGATTTCCTTTTTCGGAGGACACTTCTGCCGTCGATTATATATTATGGCTTCCATGGAACTTGCAGATCTATTCTATCCGTGGTGGAGATGGCTCGCATCCAGAGCTCAGGGGAATGAGATTCCCTAGTGGGAAAAGCAATTTCCTCTGCCGACGAAGAAGGAGCTTTCTCTATCAAACCTCGCTGTACACCGTCAGACTCTGAACGTCTAATCTCGGTCTGTGAGGTTACCTTTGGTAGAGCCGGAAGACGGAAAACGACGTTGACAGACGTCGCGAGGAAATTTCAGCCGAACTGTGAGTAGATTTGACCTCAATCAGTCGGTGAATGAGCGAGTCATCATGAACACTCACAGAACTAGGAATATTCGTCGAGGGCGGGAATAATTTCCTCCGAACAAGGAGCTCTCATTTTTTGAGTACATTTTCAAAAACAATGAGCTCCCTCGCCTAGAAACGATCCGAGACCCTCGGAGGACTCGCGGAAACCTTGTTTAAGCTTCAGAGATTCCGCACAGAACTCGCTGCTAAGAATATCTCTCGCGCGGATCTTAGGCTGCGAGGTCTCTTTTTTTACCGGCTCTCCCCGGGCTGCTCTGATTCACAGCGTCCATGATTTCTGAACGCGTTTTCAGTCTCTCTGTACCTCTAAGAGTCTTCTCCACCTCGGGATTTGGTTGGAGACGTGTCATTGTGGAGGCATCAAAACAAAATGAAGGTCAGAGGCTTCCGTATCGTTCGTCCCGCGGACCCGGTGCTCCCAAACTTCTGCTTCCGCGGGTCTCTCGGGGGCTCCCTCGAAACCTGCACACCCCTCTTTGTGAGCGACTCCATCATAGATATTCTCCATCGTGAAACATTCGACTTTTGCCGGGTGACTGACGAAGGGTGCGACAGAACTTCGGAACGGAGTTCACATATAATAGATCCCTCACCCTCAGACCCTGTCACGCTGGATCGCGGAAGCTCACGGTCTCGTCGAAACCTATTCAGGAACTTCTGCGACAGAGTCTCTCGGTCTGTTCAGAGTCCCAGATCTTTTCTCCATCAGAATCGGAATAGCCCCAGCCTATCCTCGGCCCGATCCGCGTGCTTTCATCTGAGTGTCGTTGATACCGTCTTTCATCTTTGCTCCGGACTCTTCAATTTCTTTTTTGAGTGGAATCGAAAGTAAGCCTGGGATCGACTTTCAAGAGCCCACGGATTCCATCTCCTCGTGGACCGTCCGTACGAAACAGAGCGGCAGATTGGAGAAGTTCTCATGACCTGAGCATACCCTACCCACGGCCGCCCTCCTGGATCTTCGGGCTCTCCGAGAGAGCTCAGAGTCCGGACGAAGAATCGTCTCTGATATCTGTCGGTTTGAATTTTTAGAGGTATAAACCAGTGTCACACGACTCGTGCCGCTCGATTTATTCATGAATCCTGATCGTGTTCACGTTCACTTGTTGAGCAGCTGATCGTCGAGTCAATTGTGATCGACAATTGCGGCAACTGTGATTGTCGTGTTGTTTCGATATTTCTGGTGACATCGACGCCGTCGAACCGGACTCGCGATCTGCTCGAAGCTGACAGCACCGAGAATCGCGACCTACTCTTCCGAGCCGCTCTCGGGCGCAACGAGGCCCGTAGCGTGCTCGAAGAGATTTTTCAACCACAAAGTATCTCACGGATCGTTCGGATTCAGTAATTGACAGCTTTCGAGCCTCGGTAGCGAGCAGCTCGCAGCAAGCTTGAACGAACGACCCGACTGCGCAGCCGACCAAAGCCCCACACGAAACGAGTAAACGAAGGAGGTTTACAACCTCAGAGTGCCGACCCGAGCTCGAAGCTGTCTCCACCTGTTCATATTGCACGATGTGGCTACAAGAACAAATATCCAGATTCGTGTAATGCTCGATGCTGTTTAAACGGTGGATCGATGACGCCCTCCGAAGTTCCCAGACCTCCAAAGCACAGAGACACTCGATTGACAGTCTGCTTTTCGCTATGAGCTGTCTGTTCCCTCCAATTTGTTTTATAAATATAGCTCTGGCTGGCGCGTGGCGCGCGGACTGACCGGGAGTCTAGCGCGCGCTCGCGGACGATGCGAAGTGACTCACCATAAGAAGCTGTTCGGCCTTGGCCAGCATTTTCTTATCCTTGGTACATCCTGATGCGTACATCCGAATCATGTTTTCCAAGCCTTCCTTAACCTTCTCCTCGATACCAAGCTGCTTCTCCAGGGTGACCATTGGCCCGGCTTGGTTGCTGGCCATTCTGGTCTTGGGTGTGCTGCCCCCAGGGGGGCTGTCGTCCTGCAACGAAAATAAATATCATTGAGCTCTGATTCCCGGGTCGACCACACGTTTCTCTTGCCATTATTATTACGCGGAAAACCAAAGCCGATGCACGCTCGTGGATCCTCGTTCCGAATGGAAGGATCGAGGGCTCTTGCCTCGCCAACTTGGGCTGCTTTTGTTTAGCGTGTCGACACAGTCAGAATCGATGTTCTGCATACGATTGGCACCGCTAAAGGTCACACTTCTTAGCAATGCCACGAGCGCGCAACCGCAGAACCCGGTCGGAGTTAAGCGACACAAGAGGTTTCACCGCAACAAAGAGTCCTCAGGTGCTTTTCGGCTCGATTCGAAAAATAGAAGAACGGTGGCGAGAAGGACAGTGCGATGGAGGCTTCAAAATCTCGATCGGAGCGCCACGGGAATCAAAAGCAGATCGGAGGCACCCTGTCAACTATTAAATTGTATAGTATCAGGCGAACTATTTTTAGGACTCGACACTCGTCTCCTCATTATATCCGACATCTGTATTCTATCGCATGCTAATTTATGCGCGGTTCGCTTCGTTCATCCGCTGTTGCGGGCATTGGGCGCGACTTGGGACTGCGACCAGACGTGCCTGATATGCGGTCGTGTCTCGAAGTGGGTGATAAGCTCAAACAGGAGAAATGAGGTATAAACCACGTGCGGATTCCGCGGTTTTCCGCGTCGAATTGACGTTTCTTCTATCAAGACTTGAGTCCCCCAAAGTTGACAAATAAGAAGTTGCGGATCGCCAGACAACGAGTCTATTAGGCTGAGTTTTCGAGTGTTTAGTGCGCATCCGGATTCGGGGGTAGAACATCTGACGAATTCTCCAAGGAATCCCGACGCTGCTCCGGAGCTTCATGAGCTCGGAGTTCTCTAGATTCAGCCCCCAGATTGCATTCGAGCGAGGCGAGCGCTCCAAGATCCCCAGGGACTGGGAGCTGGAATAACTCGGAAGAAGTCGGCGATCGGGACGATTACAACACACGGGCTGTTCGCGCATTTCGTTCGATGCGAGACAGCTCACAGTTAATCCCCACCCTACGGAAGCGGAAACTATATTTCAGAAAATCAAGTTTATTAGAATCGTTCCGAGGTTCGATAGCATGAGCGTCCCTCGCGTTCAAGAGAGCTCCTCGAGAATAATGTCGAAGCTTCTCCGGGAAAACTAGATTGGAGCAGGATTCATCGAACAAGGCCAAGCGATGCGTTGAATACGGATGTGCAACAGCCGAACGGGGGCGTATGTTTGCCAGCCGCGCTCGTGCTCTGAACGATGAACAGTAGAAATTAAAAATAGTGTCGCCATTCTCAATAAACCGGATATAGCACCATCGAGATCAAAGCTCTCCAAGGCCATGTCTTAAGTTAGCAGGACATTATCTGCACTCTCGTCGGGCGCACCGCTGGCGTGCGAGAACACTCGGCGCAAGGTTTCGCTCGCTGATACCGTTTCCATCACAGCTATCCTCGGTTATGATAATGTTGATGGTAACTGCGACGGGATTCCGGTATTGTGGCTCCAACCGTCTGATACAAGAGCTACATCATTAGCAACTATAGCGATTCGCTCTCCCTCGTAGGTGACTGCGAAATTCGGGAGAAATCGAAGGGATTCGACCGTTCCGGATTCATGCTCATTCCATGGAGGCAGCGTGAATCGAAATGACTGTGAGAGGACAATCGAACTCCGATCTGGAGCCGAAGGAGTGGCCGTGCATTTGCCCGAATCATAATTCGTCCGGACTGCACTGAGCCTGAATGATTTCGCGGCAAGGCTGAGCCCAGTCTAGACGGAGCGCGCCTTTCGACACGTGACAATCGAACCACGCATCAAGGAGAGTCTGGTCGGTCGAGACGCTTCAAGTCCATGGAGGTTGGAAATCGAGATTTCCGCTCCTCATCAAACAGATGGATTCACACAATCGATTTCCACACATTTCCGTAGCCTCCCGCTGATATTGGAATGAGCAGTAAGCCCAAGGGAGCTCGTTGTCTGATGTCGGGCAAATTCGAGTGCTCTACGTAAACAAGCAACGAGGCCCCTAGTCGATCCAGGCGCTCCCTGAACTTCTATTTTCGCGTGAGCGAAGGCTACATTCCCAAACGCACTTTCGTGAAACTCGCTCACGAATCCCAGCTATGGCAGATTAACGTCAACAGCGGCGCCTGTCGAACGGGAACTTGTCGTCGCCTCAAGAACAGATGTCGTAGGCGACCACTCGCACGTCTTATGCAGAGGGCTTCCCCCTCCGGCTTGTAGGTAGAACAAGAATAGTTGGGACTTGGGACTCACTCGATTCAAAGGAGCTGACGAGTTAATCTGACCCGCGATAACGAGGATGTCTGACGTTAGCTCATTGACGCGTTCTTGCAATCGATTGAGCTTTGTGTTCGAAAGCTTCACAAGAGAGTTCACGTGCGCCAGCGATTTCTTGTCGGTGGTCGCTTTCCTGAGATTTTCGGCTCCTTCTTTAATCTTCAACTCTTTCCTGGAAACAAGAAGAGAAAATTCAGTTCGCGGAAGATTCATTTTTCTATTGAGCTCGGGATCGAGGACTCGGAAGATACCGGTTGGGCTCCGCCGCAAGTCAGATAGGGAATAGCCTCCTTTCCCCTGGCTGATCATTGACCTCTGCCTACTTGCCGGAGTCGCAGAACTTCTGAGCAAGGAGCTCGAGTAGCTGCCGGGGACACCGAGAGCTCGCGCCCCTCTGTTTGCCAGACTCGTTTCTCAAATTCACTTGGATACGTTTGGCAAAAACAGCCGCTATGGGAGAACAGAAAGGGAAACACAGCCTAGGGGAGTGGTCTCTGCAAACACGCACCGAAATCCTCGCTGTTCTCTGCGAGGATCGCAGCCATAGACGGACGCATCTACACGCACGCCTGCGGAGAGACCGGCTGAGAGGGACTCGCAAAGCCGAAAGACTCAGCGCTGGATGATGATGTTGACTCCTGTCCTGGATGACGCGAGAGGGAGTCGAACGTTTGAACTATCGAATCGAAGTTTTATTCACGGATCCGTTCCGAATGTCAACCGATATCCGCCTAGCTGGTAAGTCACTCGCAGCCTACGCTCACCGACTCCATTGTTGTGGGAAGAATCATACGCGCAGAGGAGGTTTCTCCACTCGAGAATCCTGAATGACCAAGGGGATCGTGACGAGTCTAGTGCGCGAATTCTGTAGCGGGATGAGCTTCCTGCGCGATCTCCGATGATTCGGAAAACTCGAGTTATCGGTTTTGTTGGAGTCGGTTCGTTCATTCATCGAGATGATTGAACTGCCCACGTAAACTGCGAGCGACACGCGCCCGGCTCCCGCCGCAAACGTGAGATCCCCGCGAAGAGGGGCCTCTACATCAAAGAATCGATGACTGCGGCGTCTCTTCTGTATCCAAGTGAATAGTAGAGATCGTGTTGTCCCCGCGAGACCAATCGCTTACGACCCGTTTTTCCGGAATCCCGACGCCGAGCAAGAATCGCGGCAGGATCAGCGATGAATTCGGACTCTCATCGTTCGTCGTCGATCTCCTCCCCAGGAGATTAATGCATCGAATCCGTTGGCCAGCTGTTCGCCCCGGGAAACCCAGGGACCCCCGAACTGATCGAGGACGGAATTTTCTCCTTAAGCTACAGCATATCGATCCTTTGAAATCATACTGAGCGGCAGATCCCTCAGGCCATGGCTGATCGATTCCTGTTGTCCGACCCCTGCTTCCCCGGCCTATGGGACCTCTTGTGCCCAGGCCGGGGGTCGCCGGGGAAGGTTCTCGCTGACAGTCTCGGCTCAGAATGCTCTTCTCGCATTCTCGTCGAACTCCCGATCGGGAGCATCATTTCGGGAGGGCGAGGATTTCGAGCGCATAAGTCGGCGATTTGGTTACTGCCAAGTTTGGCGCTCGATCAAAAGCAGGAATCCTAGCGAGTTCGCCGGGAGAGGATGTCTCCTGAAGCCTGCCACCACTCCGGATCGATCAACTGAGAGCGGAGACCACCGACCATCATTCTGCGCTCATTCCTGGAAGCTTATCCGGGTAGAGGTATGCCGGAGAGTATGCAGACGAACCTGTCGTTGTTTGGTCTCAGGTGTCGGACATTCTGACTACTTGTTGCCATCGCCTCCCTCGAGGAACAACAATGACAGTCAAAACGGTTCTGCCTTCGAGTCCGGCTCGCGGTTACTCATGATTCGAGTCTTTCTCGATCTACCTACTCTAATTTCGACCTCCTCTGTTGTCAGCTCCTCTCACTTCTCAATTGTCTGAGTCACGTGCATTTAAGTGACACGCTTCTCCTCAACCTCGAGTCAGCGTGAGCAATCACCCGGAATTCCCGGAGTAAATTTCGACCGCCAGGGCTCTAGAAGTAAGATCCTTTATCCCGGTGGAAACTGTCTTCCTTCCAGAACGACCAAATGCCAAGGGACCGGAAACATCGATCAAGAGTGGTAATGGGAGTCCGATCAATCTTCTGGGCAGGGAGACAGACGGACACCTTGCTTGCCGCGGAAATTCTGGACGAGCTTCGAGACAAAGAGCTAATCGGACAAAGAGATAATCTCCCATGATATAATTTCTGCCGATCGGAAAGAAAGAATCAAAATATGTTCTATCCTCTACATGTTCGGGAGGAATCTTCCGTCGTCTTGCGAAGGCGGTGATTCTTACCTTATGTCTTCCTTGTATTGGGTTTTCATGACTTCCAGAGTGTGTTGGAGCTCTCCTGACTCCTGTAGGGTCTGGAGGTCGATTCCGTACTTCTGTGCCAACTCCTGACACGTGACTCCAATTTGAACTCCGGACATTCTGCTTCTGTAGGGGTAGGTGGTAGTCTGAACGAGTGTGCGAATGCTCCGTTACCGACCCGCCCGACTTCAAGAGCTCGACTGATCCGCTCTCTGGTAACCCCGGCTGTGAGCTGAAGTCGCAACGTGTTCTCGCAGTGAGTTTTTCTAGGTCTGTTCCTGAGAGTATCCTGAACGAGATATCATTCAGAGCCTTAGGCTCAACCTGAGTCACTTCATCGCAGCATGCGCACTCGTGGAGCCAGCCACGGCTTTCCCGAACGCCTCGTCCTTACGGCCTGGAAAGAGAAAATAACACCAAGTGAGAAAAATTCGACCATCGTTCTCAGTGGAGTCGCTGTGCCATGGAAGCGCCCCCCTCTCCCACGCGTCGAGAGCTCCCCGGATCCTGGTGTGCCACTGAGCAGGGAGGCTGACGACGACAACGACGCGACGGTGCCGAATAGGATCAATGAAAAACAATCGAAGTTTTACGGTTGGATCCGATCCCGCTTGAGCACAATGCTCCGTTCGCGCTAATCAAGGAAATGAGTCCGAACCTCGTGGGGGAACGCTGAAGAAGCTGGGTACGTGGATTGGAAATTTTTGAAGTAATATAAGTCTTGCATTTCCCGATGAGAAACCCTCCCCCCGGGACGATTGGTTCGTTAACGGTTTGACCTGTCTCACCGAAATCCGCATTCGTCAAGCTTCCTTGTCCGGTCCCCGAGAGGAACTCCGGAAACTAGAGTATTCTGCGAACGCCCTCCCCCAACATCATGCAAAACCTCGGAGAGGTTCTGAGAAGATCGGGGGCGCAGAAGCTCATTCAAACTGATTTTGAGATCTCACTCTAGAGCTCGGAATTCCCATAGGCGTCTTTCCATACGCAGCCGGGAAGCTGAGATGCGCGAGTCCGGACCCGGGCGAACCCGGGTAAGGTGAGCGCAAGTGCAATCGGCTCCTCGGATGAGCTGCCTATATCCATCTTCAAGACGATCAGAGTCGCAGTGAGAATGGTTTTTGAATTTCTGACAAAAGACCCCTCCTAATGGATGGGGAAATAGAGCCCGCTTCCACGATCAGGGCGTGACACGCAGTTCGCGGCTCGTCTTCCCTCAATGAAGAGGGGGGTGGGGGGGACAGGGAGCTCCGTCATTCCATAACTTGTCGCAGATTCACCTGAGCACAACTCTCTCGAGCAACCCGATCTTAGATCCCATGGAAGCTTGCCTGGAAATGTAGAAGTGAAATCCCTTCCTAGGGTGCTTGCCAAACGAACGCGGTGCGAATTCAGAGCGAAATTCTGTGCGCGTTCCGAATCTAACGAGGGCGGTCCACGGTGTATTTTTAGACAGCGCGATCTCTGAAATCTCTACAAACGAAGAGGCTTTGTTGTAGTGTTGATACTACGGCCTCCTCCTCGCTTGCTCGCTCGCCTACTTGCTCGCTCTCCCCTCGTCAGATGAACCCAATCATCATCATCATCGTCATCACATAATGGATGTATTGACATCATAGGCTCGCCTCCCCGAGTTTAGCTCGCGCCATTCTCAATGTTTCTCTCGATCGCGCTTTCCGTCCCAAGTGTTCGCAATGCACGGGTGTTCAGCTCAATGACTCCCGGGCTCGGGCAAACAAGCACTGACATCAGAGAGCGTCAGAGATACTAAACAGGCTTGCCTCCCTTCTTCTTGTTGTCTGTGAGCGAAAAATCAGCCGGAAGGACACGGCCGCTCCCTCGGAGCTGTGACCGCGACGGGTGATTTCGAGGCTTTTCCGGGGAATTTCTACTTCGCGAAGGTTGAGGTCAGGAGCACCGGCCACGATCCATAAAATGTTTCGTTGCGACCGCCTGCTTCCCCTCGTCCGATAAGGAACTCCATGCTTGCCCATTATGATCTGGGAGAAACTCGAACGCATATGCCCAAGAGTAGGATCCCGTTTTCCCGAGCGGGGAGGGAATCTGACCGAAATTCTTCCTGCTGATCGGGAGTTTTGCGAACTAGGAGATTTTTTCCCGCTAATATCACGTTCATTGAATCTCGATAGAGTCGGTCATAGGCCACACCCAAGGCCAAGACAAAAAAAAACGGAAATGCCCGCGTCTGGTGGACTTTGATCGATATCGGTTTGAAGAGCTGTGTCAATGGAAATCGTTGAATGAAATATTTGAGCGGAAGCGATGCGTCTGGCATCGCTGGCTCCGCTCGCTTCGTTGACGGAGCGTGTTGGTCGCGAACAGCCCATTCACACATTTTTAACTTTGGATTTTAATTTTTTTCCCCGGACTAAAACGCCGACGAGTTCTCCCTGGTCTGGTCTCACTCAAGCGCCAGAACCGGAGTCGTCTGCGACGCAGGCCTAGGCCGACAACCACGTGTCGACAGCTGGAACGATGTCCCGAAGCGCCAGGACGTGTCGACGACGCTCTCGCTCATTGTTGTCAGCGAGCTGTGTACTACCTGAGATCTACGGCGAACGTCTACGACTTCACAATAGAATAGATCCCAGCAGCCAAGCGATCAATGTTTCTGTTTAGGATGAACGCGAGAACTTCCAGCATCGTCGTTCCGGAACGGGATCGATTCCGAGGAGTATGTCGAGCTCCGAGGACAGCCTAGCGCGTTTTGAAGCCTCTGGGGGTCCTGTCGGTCCGACGTCGTTCGACGACGACGCCCTAATAACTTTCTATCATTCATTGGGTATATGGTGCCACGATATGGCTGCTCGAGTTGGTAACAGTCGCTGTGGTGGTGGTCGTTGAGCTTGCGCTAAGGCTGGTGTTGCGGCCACCGCTGCTGCTCCGGCCACTGCCGTTAAGCACAGTGTCCCTTCGAGATAAAGCTTAAAAATAGAATCTCTTCAGGGAGCTATCCGGCTGAGGATTATGCGAATCAATTAGGCAGCGACAGCGGAATCGACGTCGCGAAGGGCAGAGAACGCACACGGGATACGTTGGCGCGCGCCGTTCAGGATGGGAGCAGAGCAGCGAACGGCGAGACTTTAGCTAACAGAAGTTTCGAACCCATCGAATCGAAGTCCCGAAAGAGCTCTAACGCGAGCGCACCCATTCCGATCCATTGCAATCGATTCGCAGCGACTCGATCACTACCGCAAGGCTGATGTGAGCATGATCGGAGAGCACCTGAATCCACTGCCCGCTGCCGTTCCTGTGTGCGCCTCTAGTCTTCTCAGAGACTGACTGAGGACGACGACGAACTTTACAGGGTGGATGCTTCCGAGAGGGGAGACCAGCCCGAGCAGCCGGGGAGGAAAGCTAGGTACTTTCAAGACCGCTCATCGCCGCGAGCGCTTTCCCGTGTAGCAGAATCGACGGCACACAGTAAACCGTGAAACGAAACGCAGAGCGAGAAATTTATTGAGCCGTCTTTCCACGCTGATTACAATCTGGATAAGTGCGTTTTGGTCTGTTGATTGAATTTTCTTTGTGCCCCAAGCAAAGGGTCTGTCAGACCCGGCGTCAGGGAATGAGAGCGAGGAATTGAACACGGAAGAGATTTCGGGATGGCCGTGATCCCTGATTCAATTCACGACACCTTGTTTCTGAAAGTCGATCCCTCAGTTCATTCCCGGATCACGGGAGACAAAGGTCGCTCGGATCGTATCCTGCGATTTCATTTCCGTCAAGTTCAATATCCATCCAGAAACGGCTCCAAGTTCGCGTTCCGGCAAACCGAAAAACTTCGAGAGGCGGGAGGGTCGCCGAACTTGTCATCCAGATCGATCATATCATAGCCGGAGAGCTCGCGATCTCTCGATTCTCGGAGCAATGTTCTGATGAGAGCACGACCATCCATCCCTGTGGTACGTCGCCGTCTACGAGTGCCGATTCGACCATAGAACACTTGTTCCCACTGCTAACCCACCATCGATTGAGCGGTCTATCCGTCGTGGTAAACCGATCAGCTTTCGAATAGATCTTCTCTTCCTTCTTAACGCCGTTCGGTGACGAGCACAGCTGCCACCGGCAGCAACACCGGTAAGGCCGTCATCGGAATCATTATCATCACGATAAACAACAATAGTCATCATCGCTCTGTCGTTCTAAAAAGCTATCGAGGCAAGAAGCGCTTGTGATTTCAACTGGCCGCAATATTTTTCGGGGAGAGTTCTTGTTTGCTGTCCACAGACCATTCTGAACATGCATTGACATCCATCAAAATCGAGGCGTCAAGCTACCGGAGGCGCCACACCACGCCGGTGCATAATGTCACAGAAGCGTGTTACCACTGAGCCGCCGCATTTTCGAGGGAGCACGAGACTTTTCAGCAAAACCCAGAGCGCTACCATACCGAATTCTCTTTTTCGGAGCTCATACGTCCGTTGGCAAAACGCTTCATCGGACAGGTCTATCAAGAAACTCATGAACTGGGTGCGGGCTCGAAGCTATCACCCAAAAAGTTTGCATTCCTCTTTTTCTATCACTTGCTCAGGTCGTATCGTTCGACTGACTCCGTAAACGGGCTAGCGACGAACGGTGCGAGCTCTGGCTGATCGGGGAAGGTGTTCGGAGAAGCATCGGTAGGCAGAGAGTCGCTCGAAAATTGAGAACAGGCTCTTCCGGTTTCGCATGGGACGGAATGAAAACAAGAGGAGTCGAAGCCGAAGAAGAAGAAAACGGTCTGTCGACGAGCGCCGGCAGACTTCTAGCTCACGGGTGTTCATCAGTTCCATCAGGCTGAGAAGTTGAGCGAGTTTGCACGCTTCGGGGAGAGTTCTGACGAACTTGGAAAACTTTCCAACTTTCTTCGATAAATACTTGTCGTCATCGTCGTAGCTGCTGTCTGTAGACTCGGTTCTTTTGTAAAAAGGCCGGACATCGTTAATGTTTTCACCTGTCACCAGCTGAACGTTGTGGCGGGCACGAGCAGCAAAATCGCAGAGTTGAACGGTGTTGTCACTTGTTGGATCTGGAGTCGCACTCCGAATGAGCTGTTGCAGGTGGGCGCAGGAGCAGCCAACAGCAGCAGCGGCACTGATCTGCGAACACACACTCACACCACCACTCCGACACACAGCACTTCAGCACGCCATCTTGAGGCAGGTGTCAGGACGCGGAGACATCGCATAGAAGCTTCGCTTTGTCCCTCTGAATGGTTCGGCGGAATCGCTCTCGCGATGAATCTAGGGCGCCAATTCGCCGAATTTCCAGACGGAATATGTTCTGTGCCCCCGTCCCCTATAGACCGGTGTCGCCCGTCGGAACCATCATCGCTAGAAGGAAAAAAACTTTGATTCGGCGACCATTGAGTTCAGAGCATGCACTTGTGAGTTGAAGAAGGGGGGGAGACATATTTCCCACATTCTGAATTTAGAGAGATTCATCCAGCCGCACTTTCGGTGGCTCGTGGCTCCCGTGTTTACGGGGGGACTCGGACAGAGCTCGCCAACTCCAGAGAATCTGAGAGCGGTGGAAGCACCACAATCCGCAGGGAAGCGTTGAGTTCATCGGCTCTCCTCGGGATATAAGCTGCGGCGGGGCGCCTGATTTCTCGGATCCAGACGTGGATCGGGCTCCGTTGCGATATCGGAGCCCCCATAGAACCGGGGATCACCTTGCCGCGATGGAGCTCAACCCCGGTGCTCCGACTCTGACTGGATAGCATCTCATTCCACGGTCTACAAGACTAGCTGAGAGAGTGAAAACCTGGCTCTTCGTTGCGACTCCGTCGATTTCATTGGTGGGCGTGGAGCTCTTGGCGTATTTCTTCGCTCCCTAAGCGTCCCCCGTCGATCTTGAAAATTCAACAAGGACTGAACTCTGTCCGAATCGCTGTCGTTCCCTTCCCTCGGCCATGGCGGCATATTAGGGGGATCCCTGGCGGCGCCGCCCCCCATGCGAAACATAGGGGGTTCTGTCATTATTCCTCCAAACTACAACAGCGAGCCCGGTTTGCTTTCCCTCGCAAGTTGCGACTATATCGGGGGATATAGGAACATAGGAAGTCGTCCGAGCTCTGCAGGCCTCGTCCAAGCGAAGCTTCTGCGCGAATCTGCGTTCGCTTGCCCTCTCCCGAAACGCCGAGCAGCCGCAGCAGCCACCATCAAACGCCACTACAATCCGTGCATTTTGTGAAGGCCCGCTTGGAACCTATTCGTTATCAGATTTTACTGATCCCAGCCTTGATTCGTCGGAAGAGCGAAGGTAAGTTCCGGTCCGAGAATCAGGTGCTGCTCTTACAATCGCGGCGTCGCCCCTCGCGAATTCCGCTTACGTTTCTATGGAATGGCGTTGTTTGGCTTCGACTTGGAGGCTACCTCCTCTCACGTATCTTTCCGGGAAATGTCAGATCGATGCTCTGCACTCATCGGGACTTCGATATGGGAGTGAAATCCATAGGGTTCCACGGAGCTGCAGCATAGACTGGACGGAACTAGACGATCTGGATTTCCGGCCCGGCTGGTCGATATAGAGAAAAATAGCCGCTGAGATGCCTCTGTGTATTGTAAACAAACCCGGCGTTGTCCGCCTCTTCGGTTCGGAACGCCTATGACTACACAGCGCATGAGGAATCTTTTGTCGATTCCCCCCGTCTGCTTTTCTCTGGGAACTGCGACACCGGTGTAGTTTCCGGTTTTTCCGTTCAGATGGTCCTGGACTCGGTTGTAAACAAGATCGATGTATGTCGGCCAGTAAGGCGTATCGCTGGCTCTTTTATTGCTCCTACAGTGGGATACGGGGTTTCGGCTCATTCGGAACCCGTCGCGATCGGACGGTTCTGGCGCGTTGAAGCGGAATATCCCTTGTAACGCTGGAATCAAGGGACTAGAATCAATCGGAAAGATGCGAGTGCGATTCGATGAATTAGGCCAACCGATGGCCCGATGCACTTATCTATATGCAGGCTGTCCACTGTATCGATTACCACCATATGATGATGATGTGATATTTTTATACGCATATAACCTCGAGGCATAACTTGCTCCTACTATCGTTCCTGCTGTGATTTCGTTTCGATCACCCAACTCGACTTGGCGAGGAATATCAAAGTTCAAGAACCCCCCATTTTTCTGGATAGATGACCTCAACACCTGAACCAGCCGACTCGAGCCACTTTCTGGGCAAGCTCGAGGTGCTTAAAGAGATCCGAGTCCGCACCGTGCAGTTGGACAAGATCAAAAAGAAGCTCACGTCTGAAGTTGAGGCTACCGTCAACGAGGAACGCTGTCTCGACGAATACAGGTACAGATCTTGTCTCCAGTTCCCGATCTAAGCCTACTCGATACATTCTGGCTCTGTCCCAGAGACCCTCGACGAATCCATCGTAATCAAGCAGACGATGAGAAACTTCTATTTGGCTTGAGAAATTTTCTGCCTTACGAATCCTTATTGGTCTCGAGAGGTGGCACCATCTACCATCCCACAACTAGAGCCTTATATGCCTCATAATCTACTGAATACTGAGGGAACATGTTTCCAATCCTGCAGGACGGAATTGGAGCAGCTCATACAGGAGAAGATGGCTCACGTTGAGGAACTGCGCCAGATTCATCAGGATATCAACGCAATGGAACAGGTCAGTTACCAGTCCGCTTTCCTGTCACTTCACTTACCAGCCATCGTCCGACTCGGAAATCAGAATTTTTGAGGGGAAGCGATCGTAATCCGATGCGTCAGAGACTATGGATATGCAATAAAATAAGTCGCGCTCCACAGGTGATCAAGCAGGCGCAGGAAGAGAGGAACCGCCGTCTGGATCTCGCCAAGCAGCTCAATCATGAAGTTCGTCGGCTCAAAGACGTGGTCGACTCCTATCGCGGCGAAATCGGTCAGTTTTTTATCCACGGAAGCTCCATGCATAATTCTCCAACTCAAGTGGATATTCCGCTATCAAGCGTATCTGGTTCATTGCGCGGTTCCCGCGCGATAAATACGTGGTCCGCTAGGAATCCGGAAAATCCTCAACGCACGGAATCTTCCCGCTTTCAATCGAACTCCCTCTCTCCACCAGGTCTCACGAAACTACCTGAAGTTCACGATGACGAGCCACTTCTGAAGCCCGAGTTTTTCGAGCGACAACGTTTCGATATCCAACCTAGTTCCCATCAGGACATGGGCGCTGCGCCTCAAGTGAGTCGCCTGGAGGATATACATACCTGCTGTATCCTAGGGAAAAACTGACCGCTCGCCATCCCCCATCCAGCCAAGTGTCTCTAACAATGATTTCTGTTTAGGTGCTGCCGGTGCCGACTGATAATCCGATCCTTCAGCAACAACAGCAACAGTTGGCGAGCGCAGTTCAACAGATGCGTCAACGAAGTGGAATAATCGAGCGACCTCAGAGCTCAGCCGCCTTCAGACAGCAGCCTCCGCCGATGAAAAGCTGCCTATCCTGCCACCAACAGATTCATCGCAATGCTCCGATATGTCCCCTGTGCAAGGCCAAGTCGCGCTCTAGGAATCCCAAGAAGCCGAAGAGGAAAATGGAAGACTAAGTCGAGTGATCCTCCTTAGCTGCAATACCCAAAACAATGTGGAATTCTTTCTACGTTGTGACCATGATCTCTATGAACTCGAAAGTTTAAGACGATGACGAGCTACATCTACACCTTAACCCAGCGAGGGCAGCTCGCCTTTCCGGACGCGATTCCCAGGAATCAATTCTCAAAATGTATCTTTACCCCTGAGCGATCACCGTATACTTCAGGAAGCCTATAAAACCCAACAGCCCCAATCCTAGAGAGAGCTAATGCGCTGAAATTATTTTTTCTGAAGAGGGATATTCGGGGTTCTTGTTCGAGGATGGCGAAAATCTCTCCATTATTCGACTCTGAGGAGGAAAAGAGGGAATTCCATTGCTCAGTATTCTCCGCTCCTACCCCGAAGAGCAGCTCCCACGGTGACACTGATCATCATTTCAATCGAATTTCTATCGAATTGAAGGTATGCATGGGCTCGCTCGTCCCTTCTCGCGGTTCAGACAATCCGATTTCGAAGTGGGGGATCCCCAAGCTTCCCTCCTGATGCAATCGCGAAGAAGCCAAAGGAACGTGCCAAAAATTAGTTATGAAGCTAGCCTCGATCCGAATGAAATGAAGACATCATCAAGACGTTGGTGTTCGCTCCGCAAAGCGTGCCGCGCATCGTGTCCCGGATTAGGGGCGAGCAACCCTAGTTTCAGTGAAAACTCGCGGATGCTCCTATCTCTCGCAAATGATCTGCAATTGGGGTGAATCTCTGCAAACCATTGGACTCCGTTGAGCGAGATGGGACGAAATCGAGAAGAAAAGCATTGGCAAGTAGGCTTCATTCTTCAAAGAAACAGCGATATAGGATTCACGTCGAAGTATGTGAAGCTACCGCTCTTCGTAGGCCAATCTGCGTTTCCTGACGGAACCCTGACGGACGGTCACTCTTTAACTTACAATGTATGAGAAGTCGTGCCATAAAACCTAGAGCTAGTCCGCGGTGATGTATCTTGTGCGAAATAATGATCAATACAATGATCAAGCTCCGCCCGTCACCACAGGAACCACATAAGCATTCTATAGTTCCTAAGCAAAGCCCCACGTCAGAATCACTGTTCATAAGAGATCGATAGATCGATCAAGCACTTGACTTGAGAGAAGTATTTGTACGATTTTGGTATGAATCACGGAAGGATGAGCGGGAAGGAACATGTCTATACGGGAGGCGTGAATCCATCTACCTGTCGAATATGAACACCTAAACCAGGCTGTAGAAAATAAAGAAGAATTAGTAAGGAAGTAATTTTTTTATTCTATGACGGGTGCACAGCAACAGTCATCGAACTGTTCCGGGCCTTTTTTCAGAAGATCTCAATCATAATCTTACTTAATTCGATATTTTCGTTTTCGGGAATAATTCCGAACTGACTATGACGGAATCACGGTAGATGCCATCGATAAACAGGATATCAACCAAGAAATCATCAAGTACAAGAAACACAGCGTCAGGGGAGTCGAAGCCAGATCCGCTGCTTTCAAGCTGAAATGAGGGCGATGAGAAGTTTATCTAGAGGTCGGTGGGTTCGCCCGGAGCCGGATTCAATGCTCCTGTGAGGCGGGACACTTACACAGTCAATCGTTTCCGGGCGGCCGGCAGCGTCGTGAGGTCCTCCTTCAGGAGGAAATATCGTATTCCGAAGAGGTATCCTTTCAGATAAACTTCCCAATCCATTCGATCAGCCAGCATGGGGAAAAGCTGCGAAATCAATAAGAATCATGATCGGACCAGGGGCAATAGAGAATTTTTTGTTGTTGGAAGCGAAATCTTCTTTCCCCGTAGCCCTCCCGAGTTTCTAGGACTCACGTATTGATCCGTCTCATTGAGCGACTTGAACAGAGCCTCTGCTTTCTGTTTTCTGAAGATGGGATCTGTTGTGTAGAAGAACATCAAAATGTCGATCGTGTTGATCATGCGTTGATATCGGCGAGCTATTTTTGATGGTTTGCCGGCGAGAGACACTGCGAAATGCGCCAAGTGGGCCGGAAGGTAATGGTGGAAGAACATCATGTACTGGAATGAGTGATTTGATGTAAGTTCGACGCAGACCTAAAAATTCTGGACTAATTCCGCTCCCTGATTATTTCCCGAACAGGCGATGCATGGGGACGCATGCCGACCTTGTGATGTAGATCGTTGAACGCGAAATCCATCCTGGGGTATCGAAGCATCTGCACCAACGGATAGGTCCTCGCGAGACGGAGATTGATTCTCCTCATTTTCTGCCAAGAGATTCGATTCTGGGGTCCAGCTGTGGCGTGGAGTATCGGCAGAGGTCCGACTCTGGGCAAAGAAAAAAAAGCGACTCAGTGACGACGTGACCTGGAAGTCAATCAATCATCCTCGACTCCGATCGTAGGACCTGATTTGCCGCAACGCCGTCGAAAAACGCGGGCTTCGCGTCAAGATCATCAAGGTTTCCTTTATCGAATATGGAAATAACGCTGCTCCCTGGAGTGAAATTCTTATTTCGGGTCGCGAAGGGAGTGAAGGTATCCTAAGAAATCTTCGTCAATCTTCTCTTGCTCTCCTTTCATATTTTCTGCCACAACATCAGATCCTCCGTGTTGACGGAGCAGAGAATACATCGTCGTCTCACCCGGGGTCAGCGCGATGCTTCGCTGCTACGATGACCGTGTTCACCACTAAATCCAATGGAACCAAATCTGGAAAGGTCTCCCGCAAAGTCACCGGAGCTGCCCGAAGAAGCCCCAGCCCGGCCACCATGAATAGTCCCGAGGGTCCGTTGATGTTGTCCAACCAGCCCTAAAAATTCGTCATTGTTGATGAAATTCCGGTATCGAAGATGCGGAGCGAGTGTGAAGTATTCAAGGCTACCCATCGGATCTCTGCGGGGTATCCGGTACCCGAGTAAGACACTCACGACGAAGGGCTCGTTCCATGTGGCGAGAACTATGGATGGTCGCACGATCACTATGGGGATATTGTGTTCCGCTTGGCTCTCCCGTACCAAATGCTCTGCGTAGGCTTTTGTGCAGGTGTAGGTATTTGGGTAGGTTCCCAAAATCGACGAACTAACTTCTTTTAGAGATTTCTCATCCATCCACTCACACATCTGCAGGATGCCGTGAGCCGAGTGGTCCAGACTGAAATTCGAGAAAAACATTTTCCTCCTATTCGTCTATCATTCAGCTGGCGCACTTCAGCAGAAGGAATTTGAGAGGGGAACTCACTCATAGATTCTCTCTTCGGCCTCGCTCAAAGTGCAATTCGCGTACGCGGTGGAGATATGAACCATGGAGACGAGGTTCTCAACTTCTTTCGCCAGCTCCAGAACTCGAAGTGTGCCGCCCATGTTCATGTTGACAGCTTCCCTGGATACCATAGGAGAGACATTGGTTAGGTGAACTGGGGTCGGAGTCACGAAATATTTCGCTAGCCTGGTCAATGTGGAAAACTTGAGTACTTCAATGGTTCGTCGAATCTGACTGAGGCCGCAGAATGGATAATTATGTTAACTTCATGGATCAATGTTGCTCTATCCTGAGACGAAACTCCCAGTTGGGGTAGAAGCACATCGCCTTCGACAACGTGAACTTTGCTCCTGGCCTCGACACGTCTCCGGAGGGTTTCCGTGAACAGCTGGAATGAATTGTTCGAGTGGTCATTTATCATCACGATCCTAATCCTCATGTCTCGGAAGTATCCCAGCAGATTCACTCACGATAAGATGAAGGATTCTTATCAGCCCGGGATCGCATGAAAAGAGCTCACCCAGAGCAGAAAGGGAGGAGATGGAACTTACGGGTTCACTCAGAATTTTCTGTAGTCGGTCCTGTACGGATGTACCCCTCTTAGGTCTCATCAGAACATAGATACATCGGATGTCAGGGCAGCTGCGCAAGAGTTTTTCTAGGATGGCCTGGGAACCGGGGAAATGGTAAAGCATGAGAGCAACTTCGAATGAGGAATTCGCTAACTCGAATACAGACCAGACATGGACTGGATTGGCTCGCGATCGAACGGATTATTTCCCGCGGATTCTGGCTGTTGGAATTGTCCTCATCTGGGTCGAAAAGGAGTCCCAGGCGCACTCCGAAAGATCTCCGGATACTGATGGTCTTGGCGAAATTAGCTGCATGCCACAGACGTAGCAATCGCGGCGTTCCCTAACTGAAGTTTTTTTCGACTATTCACAGCGCCGAGCCTCCCGTAAATAAAGGGATCCATTGATTCCCAAGGATTTCGGTCGATCTGTGAGAAACCGATCCCAACGATACAGAGATCTTTCACGGCCAGTGTGACTTACTGTCGGCTCCTTTCTCTTGACTCAATTTGCTCTTGAGCCACGTGGCGAATTCCGTAGAAAAAGTCTCGACGATAATCATACCTAGGAGAAGAACCTTGACGCATCACAGGATGGTTTGGATCGTCCGATCCGGAGCGACATGATATGCTTCTCCCCTTTCGCTTGCGGCTCTGACCAAGCGGATGGAGCTCCGGTTCACTTTCGTTTTCTATAGCGGAGAAAATTTCCAATTTGAGATGGCCTTTGACCGACCGTGATCTTGCGTGACGGATGCTTGGTGACTTTGAAACCTGAGATAATGCGGACCGTCAAGCATGCGCGAAACCGAGCAATGTCATCCGCTTCTTTGTTATTCCCGTCAGAAAATTGGGAACTTTAATAGGAAAACAGCAACTAATTAGACGCGAGCTTCTCCCTTGCTTATTTATGATTGACTTTGAGAATCGCGCGAAACGGCATAACAACGCGGCACGGTCGTACATTACGATAAGGTTAAACAAGCCGAGGCTTGTCACTTGCGACGTGGAACGCTCCCTTTTTTCGCCTGATACCGCTGCATCTGACTCCGGTATGTAGGAGCCATTTCCTAGAAGTCGAAAAGAGCTTCAACGTCGCTCTCACCTTCGCCTTACTTTCGCTTCCGAGAAAAGACTAATGAGAAGTCTACTAGGCATCCGCAATAGTCAAGGGAGACCGCATACATGTTCTCTACGCTCGGATACACAATTGAAATTCACTTTAATGCCGTCACTAACTGACCGATGAGCCCGAGAAATGAGAAATACATTGAGCATCTCGAATACAGCTCATCCGGCGTTAGGATCGATAGACCAGAGAATACCGCACTACCCGCCTTAGAGGCATTGGATATTCCCTGTGGCCAGAGGACAATGTCTAGGGGGAGTCTGTGCGGGCTGCGGAATACCGTTAATTTCCGGGCAAATGGCCTCGCCGCATTCTCAACCCCAGAAACCCACAACGCGAATCAGAGTCTCTTCTGTCAGAGCAGCACTCCAGCTGCTACAAACAGAACACATCGAGTAATTCTCTTCGTTCCGACGAGGGCTCTCCTCCCAGTCGGCGTGATTGGGGCAGTTGGACGCTGTGACTTTAGGCAGTTTGCCTTTGGAACAATTCGTGGAAAATCTTCGGAAACTGAGACAGCTTTCATTCACCGTTTGTGTGATGCAGAGCACGTCGAGCTGTGGAGGATGACTGTCAAACGACGGCCAGTCCGTAACATTATCGATACACAGACGCGACCGGCACTAGAAAATGTGGAAATGAGCTGCGATGGAACATCTCCGATAGCTTACCTTGCCGAGGAATCCGGACCCACCAGTGAGGAAGACGGACTTTCCGGCGAAGAAATTGCTAATGTCCGATTTGTTGAGCGTATCCTCGGAGAAGTCCATGTTGGATCGGAGTGGAACAAGCGACTGACGCCCTTCGAGTCTTTTCTAGATACTCCGTCCGGATCGCGGGCGACACCTAAGCTCAGGAGCCGGCGGGACTTCTAATGGCGACGTTTGATACGGAAGAGTGGTTCTGATGGCGAAACGAGAATAACAAGCTTTGTTTCTAGCGCCGCGCTTTCCTTCATATATAGAAGAGAGGAATTTCATAGAATTTCACTCTCCCAGAAGCTCATACTGGGAAACGCGCTGCGCACCTTCGCCAAGCTGGTAGGAGGTAGACGGAGCTATGCTTGACCGTGCTCCTGGGGTCGTTCGTAGTTCGTTAGCCGGCTCGCACGTGACGTTTGAGCAACCCAGGGTCGTCCTGTATTCGGAACCTTGCCGAAACTTTGAGAGAGATCTGTCGTTTGGGGAGCGCCCCACTCGCTTCCGACACTGTCACAGCTTCCGGCCCGGGCTCCCTTGTATTCGCTACGAATCACGAATCATAATCCCAATCTAGATACCTTGTGATCAGTCGATAGCTGCATTCTGGATAAGTTGCTGGAGCTCTGAAGGAATCGGAAATCTTCTGAGGAGTGACCCGCGCTCACACTGTGTCTCTTGAGGGTTCAAAGTCGTCTGAGCACAGCAGGCCGAGACGCACTTAGTCGGAACTTGACGTCCTGAGTCGAATCAGTCTGTGGAACCCTCACCGCACGCTGCTACTTCCTATTCTTATGAATTCAAAGAAGATTTCTGGTGCTAATAATTTATGGAGCGGAGCGAGATTATCCGTTAATCAAGATGGTGACGGATTCGTTCCGCGCGAGAAGCATTGCGTAACTCATCGATACCAGGGGCAACGAGTTTCGCTTCTTCCAACTCGGACGAGTCGGGAGATTATCCCCATGGATCTCCGTTTCTCTGGATACCCTGATCTGAGGACAGATGCTGGGTGCGGACGCTTTATTTCTTGGGAACATTCCCCGAGTCATCGAATCGGTCTGTCATCTATGCTCTCTGGGGCGAATGAGTATAATTTTGCTAGATTGAGCTTGATTCAATCGGGAAACCTTAAAACAACCCCCAAGCACTCGTGCAAAACAGAGCATTGAGTGAAATACCTAATGTCTCGAGTCTAAAACTTGGTCGGAATATCGTTCTTCTCTGCAGATCGGTCACGCACCCGTATCCCCTCGCGTCACGAAATTCTCTCCCCAGAAGCGAAATGAGCCTTCCCCTGAGAAAAATGATTCCAGGCTGTTACCGGGATCGGTCGACCAAAGAGGTCCTATAGCGCTCAAGACTTTCATGGAGGAGTGACTGTATCCGGAGGACATCCTGGACTACTGCTGATTGGCGAGCTCTTCGGTGGGAACTTTCATCAAGGGGCGAGAATATTCGAAACGATTTCTGGCCGAGCGCGACAAAAAATTGACCATACATAACAGAGGCTATGGACCTGATTATTATTTGACATGATAAATAATAATAGAATGTGAGAGTTATAGGATTAATGTATAATATGAGATGAATATGGGAATAATAATTATAGAGTTATGGATGCATACTTATACCAATGATAATTTTGTTATCATAGCGCCATACATGATCATGCTACATAATCATTGGCGTAATACATACTCATTTCTTTACCAGACTTCTCATCAATATCAAAAATATCGAATCTATAGAGGATTCTGCTCGAGATCCTTCATCGCTTCGATGTTCGGCGAATATTCGAATGAGAATCGTTCTTCCCATGGCACAGATGCTCCTCGATCCGAGAGGCGCCGAGGCGTCATGAGGATTCGCGTCAACAGTGGAAGACAAAAGCATTCGAATCCCCGGCAGCCAATCCACGTGGAAAGCTGGAACGAAAATCCAGCCGCTCTCGTATTCTGGGGGAAGAGAGATGGACACTGAGAGCGAGGCTCTCTTTCTGGCATGTATCCCCACAAATGGATCGAGGGAAGATCTCGAATTCCCAGGGATCCAGTCGAATCGATCAAGACATCGTCCGAAAGAACCTGCTGATTTTCCACCGTCGATCTCGGTGGAAGATACCTCGGAGCATGGCACGCGATGTTGTCATGCGTTCCCGTCAATCTTCCAGGAGCTGCAAGAGGTACAGGCGACTTGAGTCGAGTCGACGAGACGAGATACCGGAGAAATCGAGGCGCTCTGCCGATCAAGGCGCTCAAGAGTACTGTACGGCCGCGGGGGCTCGACTGCGTCGATCCGTGTCACCAGGTCCGACGAAAGGGGCGGGGGGTATCGGTGACCCTTTGAGCCGGGCCCAGAGTAACCGGAAGGGCCCCTAACTCAGGCTTTACTCAAATAATCCTGTCTGCGTCCTAAATTCTTCGCCTTTCCGAAAGATGCATGAAAAGGAAACTGCTGCTCTGACCAATTCCTTCCATCACTTCTCTAGTGACAGATCACAGCTCATGATCCAGAAGGGGCCCATGCCCGAATTTCCCCCCGAGCCTAGAATTTCTCTCTGCGGCCCTGCGTGTCACCCCGAGATTCTGGAAATATTTGGAGAACTTTTTGCTTCCTTCTATCGATTGCGTCCCAGAGGGTCAACTCTATTGCTCCAGCTCTGCAATCTGGCACATAATTTCCCGAGAGTGTTCCGCAGCGGACGCATCTCCTTATCTTCTCTTATCTCTCCTCTTGTCGTCTACAGCAGGTGTTCCCGAGCTTGCGGCCCGCCGACCCGTCCGCATTTGACTCGTGGCATCCAATAATTCACCCCCGCCGACTGAATTCTATGGGGACTCGAGGACTTCCGTTGACCCCAAGGAGTCAAACTGGACCATCCTTAGACGACTAGGCCTACATGAGGACCCAACAAGACACACTGTAGAGCGAACTAAAAGAGGTCTCGAGAGATGAGAGCGGGAGACGAGAAGATACTTCCCCCGCATACGTCGGATCCACCAACCTATAACCAGCTGAGAAGACTCGTCCGTCGCATGGGGTCTCTCGGATACAATGTAAAACATGTTCTTCGAGGAACATGGAATGCTTGATAAATCAATCATCATCATCATCATCATCAGAGTCTGGTACTCGAGCCGCAAGGATCGTAGGGGTCGTCCTATGGTTGAGTGATCGTGTTCCCACTGGCATTCTGTGCTCGTAAAGCACGCATCACCTCCTGGAGGATTCGAGCTCCTCGAGAGCACTCCGAGCTGGAAGGACGCTTCCTCTGGCGTTAACTTTCATGGAAGACACAGAGTCAGTCCTTGGAAATTCCGTCGTGTTATCTCAATCAACCATCAAGAAAGCATGAGTGTTCCAGATCACTGGTTCTCAGATATCAGCATTCGAAGCTCCGCCTCGATATCAAAAAGATTTACAGGCTCACGATTGCGCGGTGGGGCTCGGTAGTCCAAGAATAGGTTCCCACCATGCTTCTTGGAATCCTTGGTTCATTGCCGAAGGATACAAGTCCTCGTGGGCTCGACAGAGGGAAGAGTACAGAGGGCGAGAAGGCGAGCTGTCGATGCATACAAGCGACCTGAGTGCGCTAGAATGCGCAGGAATCGTACGACACCAGCCCGAGCCCGTAGGGGACCGGCCCGCGCGAGCGTCTTCGGATCCCTAACGTCGAGCCCTGGTCAATCCCGAGCGTCGCAGACAAGATCGTCCAGGTCGACCCCAAGGGAAAATGCTTGACCAGCCTTATCGGGACTCGTCACAATCACTTCGATTCGCCGATCATCCTGGCGAACAATTCCCTTATTAGCGTGCCTGCTGCTCAGGTATCGCTGTCATCGTCCAAATACGTTTGCGTCTCAAGACTAAGGTATGTGCGGTCTAAATCGGACTTGACTCGTTTCCGCTCAAGGTCATTGGGGCAGGTTGTTGGGCACGCTTGCTGGCAGAGCTCTTACGCACAGCTGAGACGTTCCTCACGGCTACGAAAAACATTGCTCAGCGGCAGACTGTCCTAGAAGTCGAGACCTGCTGACGACATTGAGGGCAGCGACTGGAATCTTGATCCATGAAGGGGGAAATTCGGATTGGATAACCACGCGAATCCAATTGGCTTAGGTACTCGTACTCAACTTGTCATCGCTTCAGGTCAATAACTTCATGTCAATCATGACAGGAGGCCTCACCGTCTACAAGTGCTACACACAAGTTCGTCGATGCAATCGATCCCGAAGCCCCGTGCGAACCAGTCGAACTCAGGCCACCAGATTTCAGACACCCGACATCTTGTAATTCATTTTCGGACGCTCAGGTCGGGTCCATCCCAACCAGCGACGTTCAATTTCAAGGCCGGCCTCAGCGAACGCTTCTCAGCTCCGGAAAGCCTCTAGAAAGCCTCGCGCCAATGCGAGCGGTCAACGGAATCCATGATGCGGATCAGCTGCCAGACAGCAGAGCGATTGAGCTTCAAAGTCTTTCCCACGGCCCGCCAGGTCGCCTAATCTTCAAGTCCAAGCGGATGCTTCCCTGCGGATCTGCCGGAGCCGCTCAAGTCTCCAACTCGTTTCCTCCTTGCCCCATTTTTTTCACCCCAGATCTTCCCGTCGGCCCTTACCCGTTGCCAGTTTTGCACCGCCGCTATCCCCTTCCTTCGTTTTCTCGGCACCCCTTATTCTGCCGTCTCGTCCGCGCTCCGTCACTGAGTTCTTCGGGTCCCCGGTGGGTGATGGTCGCGGGATGATCTCGAATGTGGTGGATGACATCGGAACGCGCATATGCAGGGTGCAGGTCGAAGGACTTAATTTCGTTCTCCCCCTCCTGTTTTTCGATCCATATGCAGTCATGCCTCGTCTATCGCGACCCCTTTCTACCCGAATGAGCTATATCGCGGTCCCCGAAATTCTGAATGTGTACACTAATCCTTCGCTTATGTAGACCAAATCTCCCTACAACGAAAACCGTTTTCTTAAGAGTTAGAATAACCAAAGCCCATGACTAGTGGATCCTGATTGTTTGATTTCTATTGACCTTCCCTAGCTATGTTCACGTTTCAAACATATGGAGCGAGCCTAGTATAAGGGCGATGGCTCAGTTGGTCCTTGGTGGATGCGGTTTTGCGACTTGTCCGTAGGGGTTATCGATGTTCCGCTGTACCCACTCTTCCAACATCACTTTTGTGTCGAACATTCCTTCGACCCAATCTTGGTCGAGTTTGTTTTTGATGGTTTCGTTCACGTATTTCTCATTAACACCGAGACTCACTCTAAGAGTTGATCTTGGCATTTCTCGGATACTTTTACATCCGAATGTCTTTTCCAACTCTAGACTTCTCGTTGGAAGTTTGATGGGTATATTCGCAATCTTCATCATCGTCTGGATTGCCTTCGGCCACATCGTCTCGCTCATCTCATTGATTCTGGCCCGGTAAATGAGCTCACCTTTCGCTTCTCTGGCTTCGAATATGGACCATCCCAGTTGTCCGTCTATAAATTCTTTAGCGGGGTTCGCGTTGAGTTCCCCCAAGGCCCATCTTCCAGCCTCTCGCTGTAAGATTTCGAGTCTCCGCCGCAGTTTCGCGGACATCGTGGTTACCGAGTTGGCATATGTTAGCCCCGGTACCGCCGTGCTCTTCCACTGGATCTTAGCCACCTCGAACCTGTTGAATCTCCAACACTGCTGTGCGCTATCTGATTTTTCGCGGCGGCGGCGACAGGCGAAAAAAGAGGCGGCGTTTCTCAGCGGAGTTGAGACTCAAGGCGCGCCGCGGTTCTCTCTTACCCGGAGCGAGCTCCATGGGGAAAGTAGATCCCAGGGAAGGAGCTAGGGCACCAAAGAGGGAGTAAGCTTAGGGATGGCGAAAGTAGGAATCGAAAAGCGAGCACAAGTTAGGTTCATTTATTCTTGACTCACTCATTCTGCAAGAACTCTGGATTATCGTTTATGAAAAGACAAGACGGCAGGCTCCTATTTCGCCTCTTGATATGCGACGAGGAGTCGACAGAAAAACTTATGAATCGTCTTGATACTCGGATGAGATAAGGTGTCGTCTACGATCCTCATCATCGAGCGAGCGCATCGAGCTCGGCAAAGGTTCTCTTTCCTTGACTTTGATGAACATTTTCTCCTGTATTCCCTCGATTCGCTCCGAAAGTCTTCCGGAATCTTTCATAAGGGCTCTTGGCTATTCATCATGGGGATCATGACGGCGCGCCGTTCCGCCGCAGGACGCTGTGCTCAGAGTTCGGCGGCGATCGCCGGCGATCTCTGGGCGCGGCGCACAGCTCTGATCTCCGAAGCGATTTGGCGTGCATCTGACGCAGCGCCTTTTCTGCTTTCGATTCCCAAATCTTCTCCTGCTCCGCCAAGTAGTTTTTCCCATCACCTACGGTGATCCCTAAGTACTTGTAGGAGATTAGAGTTCGTAGCGCGAGGTTTCTAGACTTCGAAATATCTTTCTGAGTCTCTACATGTCGCGAATTCCACTATGGCGCTTTTGCTAGGATTGGATTGGAGAGTTATTCGACCATCACTTTTCGGGTCTGTGAGATAAGTATCAAATCGTCAGCGAATAATAATCCACTGATAGGGAAATGGCTCTGACGTTTGGTGTCAAACAAATTCCCCGGAAGTTTCCTCTCGGAAATCGGAACAGCGATGGATCGGCTGAACAGATTTCGCTGCATGGAAGACGGAGGTTTTCGATCTACCCACTCGAGCCAATCTTGAAGGCGCGTCCAAGTCAAAGATGACACTCCCTTGTTATGATTCAGCTTATTGCCGACGTTCGTTCTTGATTACCCGGGACCAATCTCAGGCAGATACCGTATTTATTCTAATAGAATGGCATGCTCCAATTACCGGCATGCTCCAATAGAACGGCAGCCGTAAGAGATTTCGGAAAATAGAGCGGCATGCTACAATAGTACGGCATGCTCTAATGGAACGGCAGGGGGAAATAACTTGAAGGAAGGTGGTATATATTGTTAGATTCCGTGAAGATATCAAGGGTATACAAAACGATTCATCGTAAGTGGAGGCAGAGATCGTTCTAATACTCCTTTTTGGAAAAAACACGGGTAGGCTCCATCAGCTCTAATGGGGACCGCCCATCCGATGGGGGATTGAAAAGTAGAGCGGCATGCTCCAATAGAACGGCATGCTCCACTAGACCGACGCCTGATGAGGGGATCGAAAAATAGAACGGCGTGCCACTCTATTAGAATAAATACGGTGAGTTACTTCTGACCTGATGTCCGCACGCAAAACTGCCGATCTGGTCTCTTCGAATAAACTCGATTCGTGACATCCCCTCTAATCTCGGTAAATTCGGAAGACCGTTTCCCGTATCTCCGCTATCTGTGGGAATGAGGGTCCTTGCGACTCGTGTGGGGTGAGGCTCTGGAGCCGTGAGGCCGAGAGGAACATCATGAACGGGGGTCGAGTTCGGTGGGACAACTTGCGGTGTTAACGGCAGTGGTGGTGTCGGCTGCGATAATCGCCTAGGCTCGTTGTGTTTGCACGTCACATGGATCTTGAGACCTCTGGCACTGTTGGACGAGAAAGTGCAGTGTGGGCATCGATGGTCGAAGGTTTGGCTTCTTGTCACAGGTAGTGCGGTCGTCCGACTTGATTGGGGTAGATCTCGAAGACTATTGTGACGAAACCTAACGGTCCGGTGTTGGTGGCCTGTGTGGATGTTGCTTAAGCTTTTCTATCCCCCCTGAGAAGGGAGGGCATGGAATGTCCCAAGCGTTCTCCTCTTCATTGAAGGGGGACGGAATCCGCAGCGAGCCACGGTCTTGGAGCGCCGTCTCTTGGAAGCGAACCTCGATTCATGCTTCCCGCAACCCCCACCATGGGACTCCGAAGCGTCGCCCCATCAATCTTCTCTCCGTGATTACGGAAAACGGATCTAAGGAACAATATACCGGAGCCTTTTGGGAGCCGAGGGAGCAGAAAGCCGAATTCAGATGATTACTCAGAAGATTGAAGCGCCACGCACTTGAAGGAACGGCACCGCCTCAGTGGCACTCTGGTACTTGCGCCCGCGCCGTGGGGCGGCGTCACGCCATCCGAGGGGTCTGCGACTCCGGATTCGGGGACGCAAGATCGCTTCCCGGCCGAGCAAGTCACCGAATACGTCTCGAGAGCATGATTGTCCCTACCACCCGAATTTCCCGAGCTGCTGACCCCTACTAATTTAGGGAACGATCGAATCAGCGCGGCTCATTCGATGCCAGTCGGAGGCCCCGGGGTACTAATACAGAATCAATATGGAAGTACATATATGATATGTTGAAGGAAACTCCCCACCCCTCTCCATTCAGATCCCGTTGGGCAAAGGGATGGTAACCTTCAGTTTAGCACACATGTTGATCGTAGGTTGATCTGAGGAGCTCGGAGGTAAGTTCTTGGTTGATGGAAGCCCGTGGGTGAGATTCATAAGTGTCAGAAGAACTGTCAGAATCGCTGCACGAGTATATTATCCAAAGGTGGGGGATTCGATGAATGTTCCAGGGCGGGACTGAGAAACTCGAGCCTCCGGAGTGAGGATATCGGACAGGGTCTGCGAGCCAAGCCGAATTCCTCGTTTCCATTCGGAAAAGTCACAAATGATCGACGTGAAGCCAGGATTCGAAGACACGTGAGAGAGTGTCCCCTCTCGTCTCCATTCACCGTGGAAGGCGCCAGCGGCTCATCCCTCAATGATTGAACGGTTGCTGCGAATTGGATGAGGACTCGAGCTTTTGATGAGTATTTTAGAGCCTCGTGAGCCAAAACACTGGGCTCGGCGGGCTTATCTTGGCCTGTCGGCCCGCGATCTGACACCCCCAATCCCAGGACTTATACATGATTTTTCGTCGCAGCATTATGTTCGCATGTGCACTCGATCTTATGGTGCGAGAGACGAGCACTTCCCGCAGGAAACGAGCATAATCGAGATAATTCAGAAAGAAGATGGAGAATCGTCTATCTATGTAGCATGAAAAGCCTGATTCTTGCGTGGATCACATGCAGCGCCAATACGAACGAAGGCCTCATTCTGACGCAGCTTCGGGCAAGATTTTGACCTCCCTGGATCATTACAGTGGTCGAATAATTTTTTCCATTCAAGTAGTCGCCCTCGAACGCTACTGCTTCCAGTGTCGCGCCTCCCAGGGCGGTGCCGGACCCTCCTCCGGAAATCGTTCCGGAATGGTATTTTCTCTGGTTTCTGAACTGTGGTGGGAAGGACCTCGCGAAATGTGGCACTGGGACAAGTCGCTGGGAACCATGGTCGAGAAGTCGGATGTTGCATTCTCGAATCACCGGAAGAGGATATTGGAATTTTCTTGATGAGATCTCCTGTGCTTAGCTTGCAGGCAGAGAATGGGGTTGTCTTCACAAGATCAAGAGCTTCCATACGTACCGAGCGCAGTCCTAGAATCACCTCGGGGGTTGGTTTGATCATACAAGCAGCTTGGGAACCTATTCTGATCTGGAAATGCCGGGAAATCATGTAATTCCCGTATCGATCGCATATGGTCCTGAATCGATCCTTGCGGAGACAATTGTCCCTCGTCCGAGCTGGAGCATCATCTAAGAAATATAGGGTGGGCTCATGCTCCCTTCCATACAATAATATCCACTAAGCGTCATCCGATGCGAATCCGCCAGAGATTCCTCGTCGTATCACGGGTTTCTGTATTCATTCCTAGGTCCATGTTTTTCCCTTTCCCCCAAAGGTTTCTTTCGTTATTTCGTCGTTCCTCGCATTGCAGGAGAGGTCTTCACAAGGAGATTCGAACGCGCTGGGCGGGAGTCTCAACTTAGACCGTCGTTGCCGTCGTGTTTGAGAAACCGAAGATGGCGGCAGAGTATAAGGGTGACGGAAATAAATACGACGAGTCGGATCGCTCCGCTGGGTGCGTCGATTCTTCAATGGGATTCATGCTTGTTCCAAATGTCCGTATCATTTCTAGGACAACGGAGACCCCTCCGCGCTGTTGTATCCATCAGAGGACATTCCCCATTTCAGCCCCGATTCAGCGGTTTATGCTCATCGACTGGAATTATCATTCAATCGCCTCATCCTCTGTCTTCTCATGCTTTTTCCCCGACAATGCGTGCGAGCAGAGAAGCTCTCGCAGAGATTTCGTTTTCGCTCGTCCGCGGATCTTCCCAAAATCCTTATGTGCATCTTCAACATCATTGGTGGCATCTTATCCTCAGAGTAATGCCGCGTTTATTGTATCGCTGCCTTGCCCGGGGAATGAAGTAGAGAATTCCTGCGCTGGGTGGGATTTGCGAAGCGTTCTAGAGATTAGAGTGCGGCGTATCGATTACCGAGGGATCTCATCCCGCAATTGGCTCTCGGATGGATCATCTCTCCCACGCACCACTCCCGTGAACCTCATGAGAGACCACGGGATTTTGGTCAGGAGGGTTTCCAGTATCACATTCAATGGAACTAGGATTTTCGGCTCGGGCCATCGGTCCTTGACTGGAGTCGATAGAGAGCTCTCAACAGGCCGGGAGGAAGCCTAGATGCGAATTCCTGTACAGCAGCCGGCGACAGGAGCCTAGCGCGTTTTGATCCGTGGGATCGTAATGAGTAAATGAGCTGTAATCGAAAAGTGGCACGGATTCAGAGCCATTCGTTGATTTATTTCGCGGTATCTCCTCGCTCGCGAAACATTCCGATCGCGGTGTTCGGATCTTGGTCCGACTAGGGGCTCGTCGGCGCTTCCCTCCACCATAGTCCACTTGCCCAATGGAGGAATTCGATACGTCTTATGTTTTGTGATTACGGTGACCTGTTCATTTTCGATTGCGATCCTGATTCATATAGCCCTCTGACACCCGCTCAAGACAGATCAC